TCTCCCAGCCATGAGAGCTGCCAGCAGTAGTAGCTACTTAACATCTGCTGCAACCCCAGAAGTCTGGTTTCTGTGGACTGCCACAGAAACAGGCAGGAACCCCCATCCCCTGGCAGGGCCTGGTATCCTGCCATGCATCCTAAAGGCTGGGAGGAAAGGTGGCAGGTTCAGACACCCTCCCCCGGGGCAGCAAGCACAGACCCAGGCCAGCCATGAACAGAAGAGTCCCTAGAACAGGCCTAGACATCAGCAGAAGGGTGTGGCAGAGGCCTACTATCATGGACCAGGCTGTGGGTGGGTGAAAGCACAGGACAGGCAGGAGCTAAGTGGAGGGTGTGCACACTGGGACATGAGTGTGTGTAAGTAGCAGATGAAGAGGACCCACCTGCCATGCCTACTTGGGGCCACATGGGTAAGGGGAACAAGGGCCAGAGGACTTTGCAGTGAGGTCAGCCCTCCTGGAGGCTCATGCTATCTTCCCTGGGAACATGTGTATGCTTGTGGGTGCATATGCTCATGTCAAATTCCTGCCTTGCCTGCCTGCTCAAGGAAGCAAGGGCTCTGCCCAGAAGAAAACCTGCTGTCCCTGGCCAGGCCCTACCGCAGGGGCCTACCTCCACAAAGAGGCTTCTGAACAGTGCCTGGGCAGCCACTTTCCTGCTGGGGGACTTCTGTGGCCTTACCTGTACGCCCCTGAGTTAGTCTGTATCTCTGCCACTTATCTAGACCAGGGCAAGCAGTAATCATGCCCCACACCCACACAGACCAGACACCCTCCCAGCACTAGAGGGCCCAGCAGACTCAGCTCACTGCCACAAATGGCTGGCCTGTCCTGGACCTGCCACTTGCCATCAGAGACCTCTCATCCAGGGGCATGGGCTCAGCCTTGGCTCACACCCTTCTCTGCTACCTGCACTCCAGCAGAGCTATAGATGCCAGGGGGGGTGGGGAAGCTCTGAGGTGTGTTGGCCCAGTGTGTGCCTAAGACCATTTCCCAGGACCCAAGCCAGCACTGGAGCACCCCCACCCCCGCCCCAGCTAGGCTACAGCTGAGAGGATGCTGAGACAGCTGCTGAGACACTGAAGCCAGTCTCCTGCAGGCCCCACTCGGCAGGCTGCAGCTCCTCATCTTGCAAGCTCCAAGTCACCATGGCTGGAATGGAACACTGATCCACAGCTGCTCTGATCAGCAGGGAGAAGAATCAAGCTTCATGTGTACCTCCAGCGGGGAATGGACAGGCTGGGATGACTCTTACACCCAGCCCCAGCTGTTGCCATCTGCTTGCCACCTGGTGTCCCTAAAAGCCAGCCTAAGCAGTTGGGCAACTCAGGTCAGGCCTAGATGCCCACAGAGCAGGAAGTACCACAGGTACTGACCAGACAGCTCCATTTCCCACCCAACCTTGCCTTTCCTCAGGAAACTGTCAGGGTGCAGTCGGGCGTTGCCAGCATAGGGATGCAGTAGGATGCTGTGCCCAAAGCAGTGACCCCTGGGCAAGCCGTCTTTCCTGCTTCTCAAGTTCCTACGTGGTTCTTCTGCCCAGCCAAGAGCCAGGACACAGCCGCCTTGGGCAGAGTGACAAGGAAACAATGTCAGGTGGCCAGGATGGAGTCTCTACCGACGTCATCCATGCAGCAGGGCAACCTGGTAGTGGGACAAGCTTGGGGTATGTTGCCCCCTGCTCCCTGGGGCAGGTGGGGATGTCACTGGGAAACAAAGATAGCCAAGGAGCCCAGAGGCATGTTTGTGCAAAAAGGAGCCCTCTGCCTTTCCCAGGGGCCAATGTTGTGGGTACAGAGCTGGGCAGAACAGCTCTGCGAGGCAAACTGCACAGGGCCTCTGACCAGTGCGCCACAGTGTGGCCTTGCCCATCCTCACCCAGGGCCAGGCCCTGGGCTTCGTGCCACATCCAACTCCTTGAAGCTGCCCCAGGTACCTCTATCAGTACCTGTAGTCACTGGCACCTTGCCCCTAAGCACCAAGTGCATGGCTCAGCCAGATCTCTGGCCAGTGCCTTCTCCAAGAAGGCACCTTCCTCCCATGTGGGTAACAGGCCACAGGAAGGCACAGAAACCAGCAGAGAGGACTGTTGGCTGTCTGGCACTCAGGTGCATACACAGGGCAGGGGTGGTGAGGGTCCTCTCCCTGCTCCTGGGCTACCACACGGCCTGTTCTGGGACTTCCCAGAAGGGGCTATGATCAGAGGCCTAGAGGCCCTCTCTTGTACCCTGAGCTGAGCCAAGCCAGCGCAGCCCAAGAGTGAGGGCATGCATGTGTACCCTAAACTTGTACCAGCTGAGACTGGGACAGGGTTCAGGCCACCCTTGGGTAGTGAGGCTTGGCTTCTCCACAGCCCTAACCCCTCCCTTTTCCAGTATGACAGCAATTCCTGCTGTCCCCTTGGGGTAACCTCAGTTTACCTGTGTAGGCCTGCAGACTATCTGCCATCCTGTCTTCTTCCCAGGGTGCTAACCTCTCTCCTTCTGTCCTCCCTTTGCCTTAGACACCCTGCCTGCATGGGGACTTGAGCCCAGCCCCTCCTCTCCTGCGGAGTAGGAACACACCTTTCCTAGCCATGGCTCCTTGGGTCCTGGAAACCCATCTTTTAATACCCAGCTGCCTACACACAGGAGACATTGTGTCCCTTCCTGTGATTTCTCCTCCCTTTAGAGGTCCCACCGCCTGGCAAACACTCCAGCAAAAACAAATTTGGGATGTCCTCTCACTGCTTTGTGTGTTCTAGAAGCTGCTCAAGCTTGGAGGATTCCTGATTGTCCCTTTTCCCAAGCCAGCCTTCCCCAAACCCACCCCACATCTGTTCTCTGCAGCCCAGCCCTGCCATTTCTGGGCTGGCCCTAGTGTACCCTGTCCCCCATGGGCAGGCACAAGCCCTGCCTACCCTGACCCACATGAACCCTTGTGCTGCACAGGTGTGTCCAGGTGTTCTCACCATTCAGGCCTATGAGTAGCCCTGCATGCACATCTTTGCCTGCCAGCCACTAGCTCTCTGCTGCAGGCACATCCTCATCCATCCTTACCCCTATCATGCCCATGCTACAGTCTGGGGATGGTCTAGGGAGCTGCAGCCCAGATACTTCTTCCTCAGGGCAGCACTGGGCCTTCTGGTATCTTCTCCCCATTCCCAGAGACAAGGAAAGGCACACTGGGAGAGCACCCCAGATCCTGACCTGAGACAGTCAGGTCCTTGCCTGAGCTTAGGTAGGTAGAACTCAAAGAATGGGCAGCCACCTCCATGGAGACTTCTTAGCATGAGCCTTGCCCACCCGCCTGTCCCACCAGGGTTCCTAAGGCATGCTGGGAACCACAGGGTCAGATGTGCCATGTTGAAGGCCAGCCACACACGAAATCACAGTTTAGCCAGTTTCTGCTCAGGTACAGGTCTTTCTGCATTAGTTCACTTGGTGTGCAGCAGCAGCTCTGGCCTAGGCTGGCTGCAGGTATAGGCAGGAGGCAGAAAGCAGTCTGGGGATTTCAGGCCCCAACATGCTGTCTCTGCATGCGTTGGGGTCTGACCCCAAAGGCAGAGCAGCACAGGACACCAGTCGGCCCACCAGGAGGCTAGTGTCTTGCCCAGGAAGAAGCCCTGCTCTCCCCACCCTGGGCCACAGTCAGGGAGGCAGGGCTCAGAGCCCTGCAGGTGAAGAGGCCCAAGTACCAGGATGGCCTGCGACCTGGTCCTGCCCCTGCTGCACAGAGGTGGCTCCAGGTCATAGGGCAGGGCCAGTACCAGGTGCAGACCCCATATTCTGTGCTGCTCCCATGGTGCCTAGCAACAATGGGGCTTCAGAGGTATGGGGAGCTCATGCCACTTGGAGGAAGGCTCAAGGCTGATCAGCTCTGGACTCATGTGGAGATCGAGTGTAGGAGCAGCTGGCTACCCCTGTGTACTCTGCACACGGCCAGGCCACTCAGGTTTTGGGACAAGAGCGGAGTCCTGGAGCACAGGGCTGGCAAGCTGGGCCAGGTGCTCCCGTCTGTTTGCTCACAATGGGGACATGACAGTGTCCACCTCTTAAGAGTTCTCCAGCTGGGCCACATGGTAGAAACCAGGCCTTAGGCACTCCCTGGCCATGTCCTATCAGACACAAGGCTGGTCCAGCTTCTCCTGCCAGCCAGAAATGCTTCTTATGTTGCTCAAACATGGTCCCATGGTTAAGTGCCACGGAGGCCATATGAGGCTGTGGGACGAGGGCTTCCAAGCAATCAGGAAGTGCTAGGTGGCCCCGAGTCTTGGTATCCACACCTGGGGGCCTGGCCAACCCCAATGAGATGTGCTCAGGGTCCAGTCAGGACGCTGCTGGTCTTGAGGTCACACTCAGAAGCCGTCATCATCATCGCCGTCACAGCCGTAAGCTGCAAAGCACAATCATGGGAGAATGGACATGGTGGAGACCTGTCTCAGACCACATGTGGTGGGGACTGCCACTGTGGTCTCCTGGTCCCTTTGTGTTTGTGGAACCCCAGTATGGAGCCTCGATTTCTCACGTGGCCCCTGTGCAAAGTGAGTACAGGGGTGACCCCGTGTATTAGTGAGCTTGGAGCCTGCAGCACTCACAGTGGGCATCTCAGCCCCAGCCAGCTGCTTCTAGCACATCCAGTGGCTGCAGCCCACCAACATGGCCAATATAGTCCCAGCTTAGTTCAAATTCCTTCCCTTCCAGAGAGATGAGTCTGAAGTTCACAGGTTGGGCTCAGGCTTCTTCAAGGGCAGATGCTCTTTACTTTCATCTCTCTGAAGCCCCACCCAGCTTCTGCACTCACACCAACCATATGGGGTACACCTACCATTGTTGCCCAACATCTTCAAGGCACTAATGCAGGGTTCTCCATCATCCTCATCTGCGTCGTCTTCATCAGCTACCTCCTCAGACTGGTAGGACACTGGGCCGCTCTCTACCAGCACTGCTGCTGGCCTGGCCAGTTCAGGTCCCAGGGCAGGGGAGTTCAGAAATGCAGCCTAGGAGAGTCAGCAGGGGGCAGGAGCCACACAGAGGCCACCCTCATTAACCCTCTAGGCTGGCCCTATCCAGGCCTCAGCACTCCTGCCCCACATCTGAGCTGCTCAGAGGTCTGCCTGGCTCCATATTCACTGGCCCCTGTGGTCTCCTGGGGTTGTACAGCAGGCCTCACCACCAGATGTCCAGGTCCCAGGTCTCAGCACTTGTAGAACAGGGCCCCAGCAACAAGGTCCCAGCTCACTCACAACCTCAGTACCCAGCAGCAGGCCTCACCTCCCCACTCTGCTTCTGTAACCCAGCTGCCTGAATCATAAGCACCAGGGACTGCCTGTCCTGGGCAGTGGTGAATAATTCCCTAGGCCCTGCTTGTATGCCAAGAGACGTACCTCTCCCAAGGCTGCTTTTTTAGCTGGCAGTGTAGACACCAGAGGCCTCAACCTGAAAGATAGCACAGCGTAGCCTCAGCCTGGCCTGCTTGCTGAATGCCTGCCAGCTGGGGCGCAGAGAGCCAGGCCTGGTGCTGCATGGCATGGACCAACTCCATCTGGTGGCTGCAGGCACTGTCCCTGGCCTCACATGCCTCTCTGGCTGACTTTAGGTTCCTGGTCCACCCCAGTGCCCATCGAGGCTCCTCCCCTATGTCTCTTTCTGTCCTCAGGTCCCCCATTGGTCCTGGGCCCCACTTGTTCCTTCTTGGCTTTGTTGGGTGTACTGCCCTTACTACTGCCCCCAGGAGCCTAGCTGGGTCCATCCTAACTCCACTGTGTTGTGTATCTTGTGCTAATCAACACCTGCCACTGACTTCCACTGTGTGTGAGTGACACAAAAATGCAAAAGCCACAGCAATGGCTCCCTTCCTGATGAGTCCACAGGTGCCACATAGCTAAGAGGACAGTCTGTTCTGCCCCATCACTTCTCAGCCTTTTGGCTGAGATCAAGTATAGTCTGTCCTGCCTCAGACTTCTGGACAGTATAAGGGTCATGGGTAAGGCCCACATGGTCTCCCTGTGCTTGGTTCTCTCAACAATGCCAGGCTCTGAGGAAGAGAGGCAGGGAGGAAAGGGTGCATCAAGACCCAGCCTCCTGCCCTCATGCACACCAGGCCTGTCTTCCATCCCCTAAACCTCCAGCACACAGAAGGCCTGATGCTAATGTTGATAGGGACAGGAGCAGGCCAAGTCTCTTCAGAGGGGAGAATGGGCTAAGCACTGCGGGTTGCCATACCTGGCCACAGTGCTGTCCACGAGGGCCAAGGGGACACCGGGCCTACGGGAAAAGGGTGAAGTGTGGAGCCCTTCCCTATGGGGCACAGCTTGTGTGGGCAGGCAAGGGCTCAGGCTCAGGCTCAGGCAAGGGCTTTGCTGCTGAAGTCTAAGGCCCAGCCCTGCCTGCTGACATGCCAGATCAGCCCTGGAGACACCATGGGTGCCATGGAGCCTCTAAACACAGGGAGTTTCTTGGGCCGGTTGGCTCAGATGACCCTGGCCATCTTGGCACCAGCTACTCCTACCATTCCCAAAACCTACTGCCAGCTCCAGCTGTCAGCCTCTCATCTCTGACAGTAAATGTCACAGTGGAGTTCCACAAACATACCTGACCCAGGGTAACAGCCACCCCCAGGCCTCTTCCCACCTGACAACCACAGCCACTGAGGGCTGGGGCATCATCCAGCCAGGATCAGGGTGGGGGTTTGTTGGGCCCATCATGTGCTCTCTTCCAGCAGCAGGTACTAAGTGCTACTGCCCACTCAGGGGGGCACCCTTCTGCACTCTCATTCCCTAGCATGACAACAATCCTAGAAGCCCCATGAAGGTCAGACTGGTAAGTAAACTGACATAGACCATTAGCCTGGTATTGTGAAAAAAAAAAAAAAGGCACCAGAAACAGCAAAAGGGAGCAACACAATGAGAACAGAGGAAGAGATTGGAGCGGAGTCAAAACACCGGAGTCAAATGGAGCCAAGAGGACGGTGGGGAACATCCCACAAGGAACCTGGACAGAGGGACACTGACTATGCCCAGCCTTCTGCATGGCAGGGATGCACTGATATCTGACACTGCCACATGGCTGGATGCTGTGCTGCAGGGCAGCACTGCCCTCTCCTCTGCAGGAGATGCTGCTGTGGCACTACTCACCACCTCCACCCACACCCAGCTAAAGGGAACTCTCACCTCCCTCCACCTGGGCAAGTAAGGTGCCCAGAAAAGACATGGACTGGTCATCCCACTGGGCATCCTGCAGCCTCCTTGAGACAGCAGATCCTGATGTTGCTGAGTGGGGGGAATCAGGACATAGTCCACACCACACCTGGACAGCCCATCAAGCTCCAGCACACAGTGGGGCAGGGTGAGCACAGCTCCCGAGGCTCTACCCCAACCCTGACAGCCAGCTCAAGGGACAGGATGGTACCTCTTCCCCACACTGGTCCCAGGGTCGGCCCCGCTCCTGCAGGCCACCACTCTCCTCCATGACAGCTTCTTGGCACTGCCCTTCTCGGTGGGCCGTATGTCGTCCCTCTGGGGGCTATCCAAGCCCTTGCTGTTGAGGTCGCGAAGCACGCTGTAGTTGATCTTGCTGGAGATTTTCTTCTGCTCCAGCATCTTCTCGATGGCCTCCCTGGCAGTGCTGGCCTGGATGGGCTCACGACGCTTGCAAGACTTTTTGGGCTTGGGTGAAATACAACTGTGAGGCCTCCTATGGGCCATCAATTGCACCCTGTGATTGGTCCCATGCACAGCAGCTGCAGCACCTAGGGGAACTAGTGAGGGCTCCTCAGGCCATACCAGGGACACTCAGCTGTGCCACTTCCCACCTCATTTCCTGCACACTGACTACCCCAGCACAGCTGCCTATTGAAAAGAAAAAATAGGGGCTGGGGGTTTAGCTCAGCGGCGTAAGCACCTGCCTTGCAAGCAGGCAGTCATGAGTTCGATCCCTGGTACCAATAAAAAGGAAAAAAAAAAAAAAAAAAAAAAAAGAAAAGAAAAAATAGGAGGATGCCCAGCAGGTGGCAGGGTATGGGACATGCTACTGGGTGGACGGTGTCCTGGGCTTTAGGGTCCTCTGGAGTGAGGAGCTAAGTCAGTCACTGTGATGACCAACAGGGTAGAAAGGGTGATCAGAGAAAAGTTCAGACCCAGGGCCTTTTACATTCTCTACAGGAACTCAAGGCCAGGGACGTCTGTCTAGCTCTGAAGCTCCAATATCCATGTTGGGGACTCACCCCAACTAGGATGGAAGGTCCATTGGCAATGGAGTCTATGCAGTGCATGTGGCCAAATCAGGGCAACCTGGAAGCCAGGGATGCAGTGTGGGGTCTGGAGCACACAGCCTCTAACTGCCTGCCTGGCCTGGTCTGGTCTAGGGTGACTGGACAGGCACAGCTCACAGATACATCCCCTCCCCTCTGCAGGGACTGCAGGGGACAGCTGGACCCTGGCATGTTGCAGATACCTACCTTGTGCTCCTTGTAGATGCCCAACTCCTTCTCCTTGGCTATTCTCGCTTCCTTCTCTAGAAGTCAGACAAAGCAGGCTGCATCAGCAAGGGCCTGTGCACCCAGCAGGCAAGCAACAAGGGGTACTCACCTCTCTGTTCTCGCAGGTACTCGGCGTTCTCCCGCATCCACAGCTCTGCCTTCACCCGGGCTTCTGCCTCGTTCAGGATGTACTGTGTGCACAAAGGGAAGGGCTCTGACTTGGAGCTTCTGCATCCAAGTGTACACTAAGATCTCGCACCAATGAATGTACTTTCCCTTTACTTGCTGCTGCTGCTACTTCTGCTGCTGCTGCTAACGTGGTACTGGGGAGTGGACCCAGGGCTTTTACGATGAGCTACATCTCCAGCCCTTTTTTCAGTTTTTACTTTGAGACATGATTTAGGTCTCTGAGTTTCCCAGCTTGCAATCTTCCTCCCTCAGCCTCCCAAAGTGCTGGGATTACAGTATGAATCTCTGGGTCTGGCTGTATATATTTAAATGGTTAAAGGAAGGAGAAATATGGACAGGCCTCTGCTCAACATAGAAACCTATTACCTCTTCACCCTTTCCAGCCACAGGGTCCTGAGAGGCTGGAAGCAGTAACAGGCCTTGGGTTGACAACCACCCACCCCCAGAACCTGATTCTGAAAAGGCGAGAGGCAGTGCTTACTCTGTCGATTTCTAGGTCATCAATGCCACTGAGATCCAGCTCACCATCCCCCGAGGCGTCTTCTAGAGGGAAGCATCACATGAGTGTAACCCAGGGGTAGCCCTGTCAGAGGGGTGCAATATTGCCTGGGCCGTTCAGGCCTCAGCCTGTGTCAAGGGGCTTCCAGAAGCCTGCAACCTCATCCCACCCACAAGATGTGTCCATGGGTAAGGATGGCAAGAAGGCTCCATGAGAAAGCAGGAAGACAGGCTACAGCTGTAGAGAAAGTCCAACACTTCTGCCATAGGGCAAGATGGGGATATGTGCTCCCACCCAGCAGGGAGATACAGCCAGGCCTTCAGAGTAGGAGCAGAAAGGCAGTGAGTTCCAGAGTCCAGCTTCCAGGAGTCTCCCTGCCTTCTGGACCCAGCAAGGCCAACGGTGAAGTTTGTACCAAAAGAGGTCAGGCTGCCCTTGTGAGACCCCTTGGCCAGGCTAGCTGGGGTACCTCCCCACTCAGCCTTCACAGGAAGACCTGAGACCCTCTGTGATTGCTGTGTTCCCTGTGCTCTCTAAGCCCTGCTGGAGCAGCCTCTTCTTGCTCTAGGGTCACTGTGCCCCAGCTGTCTCTGTCCAGCGCTCTCTCAGCAACCCATACACCACGACTGGTGCACAGTGTCCTGGGGGCTGTGCTATACTGGGTACCTGGAGATACACTGTTGGGGAGCCTATCCTTGCAAAGAATGAGAAAGAACTGACCAGCCCTGCTACAGCTCCTAGTGCTCTGGCCCTTCATTAAGGCTGGCCTGATGATGTTTTAAAGCATGGGACAGGCAAAGAGCAGCAGGGATGCAGCACCACGTTGCAGGGCAACTGTCCGTGCTTGAGGACTCGTCAATGCAGTGCTCTAGTGTCACAAGTAACACCTTTGACAGTGCGGAGGGACAGGCTACCAAGCAGGCTGTTAGCCACATCCAACAAGACAGGAGGTGAGTGGCACTGGTCCTGGCCCCCTAGAGACTCCACACCTTCTCCAGGTTGCTGCTGCTCCTCCAGCTCAGGCTCCAAAACAGGGCTCTGACATGCAGGAGGGAGGCCTTGGCACCAAGCGGAACTGGTATACACTAGCTCCACTAGCTCTCTGCCCATCACACAGCTTGTGTGAGATCATGGAGGCTCCTAGCCCACTCTTCCAGAACACTGCTCTCTCAGAAGACCATGGTAGCTTCCTGTTCACGCCATGAGACCGGACAAACTGGAAACATCTCCTATCCCTGTCCCACAAGCACTCACTAGGGTCTCTGTTTGGGGATGAGATACATTCACGGATGGAGTCTGAGATGCCCAAGCTGGCTGCTGTGGGCAGGGGGCCAAGCAGGGACTCCAGGGCCAAGGGATGGCCACCCTCCTCAGGGATCTCTACTGCATCCGAGCTGCCACTGCCTCCACCCAGAAGCTCCCGGTAAAAGTCCTTGTTCATGTGGCTGGCAGCTGCCTCCAGTTCCTCGTCCTCGGCATCCTCCTCGCCAAAGATGCTGGATGTAGTGTCCTCAACCGAGCCTGGAGACACAATCATAAACCACTTGTCAACAGACAGGAGTCTGACAGCCACTTTTATGACAGAAACACTTTTGCCAAGCTGCAAAAATAATCAAGAACAAAAATTAATCGCAAAAAGCACACCTTCAATGCAGCACAGACAGCACAGTCCTGCAGCATTGGGCATCTGTGCACAAGAATGACCTGGACAACCATATGCTGCATGTAGAAGCTATACCAAATGCACTCAGGCCTGTGGGAAGGGCTAACAGCACATACACAGTAAGGAAAAGCTAAAGTGTTTGAGTTTGAGATTCAACACAGATAGCTTAGACGTGACACCAGAAGCAGAGTCTGTAAAATAACTGATAAAAGCAATTTTGGAAGAATTACGTACCTCTGCCTCTGATTGACACTGTCATGACAACAAGTAGAGATGCCCACAGGCATCTCTGTAGGTCACATGTATGGTAAAGGTGGATGCAGAATAGATGATGCATCCCCAACTTCAGGGAGAAACTACATCAACATAAGCCATGAGAAGACACGCTTGGGGCACCTCAGTATATCCATGGTCTGCTACGCCATAATAAAAAGCCATAAATGGCTGACAGACAACTCAAGAGCCAGAGAATAATAAGAGTTCAAGCTATGTGTAGAAATGACTTTTGCATAGGAATATAGAAACACAACTACTTAATGGACAAAAAACAGCAGAGGCAGCCTGCAGCTAGGTGGGGGCACACTGCAAAGGGCACAGGGTCTCTGGATAGTGACAGGTCCATGAGTGGCCTGACATAATGCTGGTTTCACAGGTGGTATATACATTTGTCAAGACTCAAAAACTAAAGGGCCCATTTTAAGTAAGGACAGTTTACCATTCTTGGAATGCCTTGGAATCACTAAATTCTCTGGAAACTTACTTTAAAGACACATTTGAGAACACTTCACTCTACTTTAGCTGCTAAGTGTGTTCCAATGAGAGCTCAAGGTCAGCACTGCATGTGCTAGGAGGCCACAGGTCTGCACAGATGCCTCCCTGGAGCAAGATGCTCACAGGTGATGGCCCAAGACAGTCAGGTATAACCCACAGGGGTCTGGGCTGTTGCACAAAGTTCCCCCCAAGATAAGCTGGCCTAGGACCTAGGAAAGGTCTCCACATGCCAGCACAGGACGTACCTGCCAAGCCCACCCTCCTCCCCACTCTCCCTCTGTTTCCAAGCCCTGTATGGCTCCTACAGCTCCAAGAACCTCAGTCCTACCCATAGCCTGAACCAGAGCACTGAGCCTGTGGCTTCTGTTCTCTCACTGCCACTCCAGGCTCCCCCTATTCCCCACACTGGCAGCAGACAAAGGAGCCTGACAGCAGCAGGAAATGCAAAGGAGAAACACACCTGTTCTGTCATGATTAGGGCAGGAGTGAAGTAATACAGTACTGCCCCAAAGACATACCATGAAATTACATGAACAAAATCACTGACAGAGGCATAAGACTACAGTTTAGAGAACTCTATGCAAAAATGCTACTCAGTGAGTAAACGAGCTTCCTTCACTTATTAAAGTAAAAAAGTTCGGACTTCCGGGAGAACATGGCGGACAGATAACAGCAACTACCGGAGGCTCTCTGAAAGACTCGGCTCAGAAGCCAGGAATGGTGCGGACTAAGGAGACATAAGCAGGTGGAGATATGCTCTGCTGACTCAGGAACAAACTGGGCTGAGAGAAGCCAACTTGGAATGCAGTCCTGGTGCTAAAACAGGAACAGAAAAGACTCGGTGTGGAGGCTGGAACCGCGCCATTGGAAGCTGCGATTTGGGTTTTCCGCCGCGCGGCGGCTGGCTGCCTCTACAGCAGCTCGGCAAGGAGAGAGACGCACAGAAGCTCTGGGAACAGCAATCTGCGAACGGCAGGGAGGCGTGCACTGACTTGTGGCGAGGTGAGTGAGAGAAACTGACACTCTACCACAGTTTGACTCCAGCAGAGGACTTTCTGGGCCCGAGCAGTCCTGCGGGAGCAGGGCGCGGTGGCGACTCCAGCCACACATCCTCCTCTCGGGCGGGATTGGTGAAAAGTGCCTGGCCTGCGTGATGCTGCCGGCGGACCGGGTAGACTGTCCCAACCCAGATCCCAGAGCCTGTTGGTGGCCGGGAGGGGAGACGCGTAGGCTGCCTGGTCCGTAACTCCCTGGTGCGCATCGGTGAGCGGGAACAACTAACTGGCGCAATTCGATCAGGCTGTGGTTGACTGGGAGAGAAGCTGGGCCTCTTATATAAGCTTGCATATATAAGGAACAGAGAAGAAGAGGCAGCATGGGAAGAGGCAGCAACAAGAAAGGCTCCTCGGCCCCCAATTCTGAGAAACAGGCAATAGCAGACACCGCACCAATACACATAAGGCACCATATAGAGAGCCTCATAGACCAATTCAGGAATGAAGTTATCAATGACCTGAAGCTAGAAGTATGCAGAATAGTTAGAGAAATGCTAAGTACCACCCAAGAAAAAACAGGTGGTGGAATGGAAGAACAGAAAAAAAGGGGAGAATTGTTTGATGGAGAAAACAGAGAAAGCATAGAATACGTGAAGCAGGTTCAAAGGGACTACCAAGATACTAAGAAGTCTATAGAAGACTGGCATAACAGCTTGAAAGAAACTAAGGACAGACTATCTGAACTGGAGGGCAGACTTGTAATATGGGAGAATGAAATGAAAAACTTCTTAAAAATAACAAAGAAACAAACAGCAATAATACAAAGACAAGAAGATGATAAGAGGATCCATAACTTAAGGATTAAGAACATAAAAGAAGAAGTAGGGACACAAACAAGTGAACTACAAAAGCTACTCACAGAAATAATCCAGGAGAATTTTCCTAATTTAGCAAAAGGTAAAGATACTCAGATGTATGAGGCATACAGGACCCCAGCTACCTACAACCCAAACAGAGCAACACCCAGGCATATAATAATAAAAATTCCAGAAATTCAATACAAGAACAGAATATTAAAAGCTGTAAGAGACAAGAAACAGACCACTTACAAGGGAACACCCATCAGAATTACAGCAGATTTCTCTGCACAAACCATCAAATCATGAAGAGCGTGGGGGGAAATAATTCAAGCTTTGAAAGATAATAATCTCCAGCCAAGATTGAGATATCCTGCACAACTGTCCCTGGAAATTGATGGAAAAACAAGGTGCTTCCAGGATAAAGAGGAACTGGGGGAATTTGCAACCACCAATTCAACTCTACAGAGAGTATTGCAGGATATTCTAAAAAAAGAAAAATACAAAGAATCCAGAAATAATGGCAGAGAGGCCACAACGAATGGAGCAGAGAACAAAATGAAGAAGACAAACTGACAGCTACTGACAGAAAAAGAGCTCAACAGAAATGAGGCAGAGAAGATTGGATGATAGGAACAGCTATTTTGGAGAAAATGACATCTTAATAGGTAATACTGATTTAGTATCATCTTGTTTTGAAGTCTCATCTGGCTTTTGTCCTTCTGTCTCCAATGGTCTAAATAGGCTGTATCCTACTGGATTTTATTATGTACGATAGTATAAGCAAAAACCTTTTAAAGACAAGGAGATTATACAGAAACCATTGTTCATTTTCTGTTAGTCCATTCTAAATACTCTGTAATGCTGTCATTCTCTTGAATGGTTTTACATTGTTTTGATATACTTAATGTTACAGTATACGAAGTTGTACTCAAGGATTTCAAAGAAAGAAACAATATGGTAACTACTTTTAGGTTAGGATTATCTGGTGGTGAAACACTATTCTGCTTAAATGGTTATGTTTTGATCTGCGCTGTTTCATTGTTATGCCCTCTTTTATCTCAATCTCCACTCCATTATTTACTTTTTTATCTTTATCCTTTTAATTAAAGGAAAAAAAATAGCAGGATATATTATAGTAACCCACTTTGACTTTTCATTACCTTGATTTAAAGCCCTGTATTACTCTCACCATCTGGTTTTTAACTGATGTTCCCCTATTCTGTTTTGCTGGATAGTATCAGGTTCGAAAGTTTAGGCATCAGCTGTGAAGATAATGAGATTCATTATGACGCCCATTCTTGTTGACTTTTATCTACTTTTGAAGACCTACAATGTCTCCAATGTTTTGGTTTTGTCGGTTTTATTCTTTACTGTTTTGTTCAATTGTATTATAACTAATGATATAGGCAATTCTATTAGAGATAGCGGGAGGCATTATGGTAACCATTGTTGATCACCTTGTATTATGTTTTTACATTATCTATTATGTCCACCCTTTTGACTTGACCGATTCTGTTCTGTTATGTCACATTTGGTTTTACTCTCTTCCAAAAAAGTAATAAGAACCGTGGGAGCAATGAAACCCAAAATGTGTAATAGTCATGGTACAAAAGAGAGGAAAAGAAAGTGCTCCAAACTATATAACTGCATGTATATTTAAGTGTATAAGATAGAAAATGATATCACAGAGTTTTATTGGATCAATGAACAGAACTGTTTGCAGTATCATTGATGGAATGTCCACTTTCAAGCTTTAATTTTGTGACTTGAACAATTATTTCTAGGATGACAATATGTAATCCATTAATTAGTGATTTCCTACTGTTCATTTTTTTTCTGTAAATCTGTATAACTTGTACCCTTTCCCTGCTTTTTTTTCTTTTCTCCTGAAATAAAATTAAAAAAAAAAAAAAAATAAAGTAAAAAAGTTCTTCAAGTTGGAACAGACAGCCAAGCCAGATCCCTGCTATGTAAGAAAGGTTCCTAGCAGGCAGCATGATAGAGAGGGACAGAGTGGGACTTTTAGCTGCATTCACCCTAACAAGTGAGCCAGCAGGTCTGGGAGTGGGCAGTCAGCGACACCCTCAGGAGTACCAAAGAGGCATCATCCACTAGCCACCACTGTATGTAAGGTAACTGGGTGGAAGAAAGCGAGGACCAGAGGCCTGAATGACAGCTGTCTAATGCACAGCTGACAATGTCCAAAGACAATGAAAGCCATACACACCCAGCTGCCTGCCTGCCCACCCGGGATGCAGAGCGCTTCCTCCCTGGTGTCCACAGGCCCTGTGCATGGCTGGAAACCACGCTGAGGAGAAACGCAGAACAACACACTCTGGGTCCATTCACAGCAAACTGAAAGCTAAAATTGAGTGGCCGAGAGCCCTTGGGAAGCTGAGGCAAGATCGCTACAGATTTGAGGCCAGCTGGGCTACATAGTGACTTCAAGGTCAGCCTGAACTACAAAGCAAAATCTCATCTCAAAAAAAAAAAAAGGTAACGACCAAGTCAGAAGACACCATCCCCCGGGCTGTTCAACTCCCTTACGCTGCAGAAAAAGTCACCTGTGGCTGGAAAACACCTGTACATTTCTGAAGAGGACCATACCTCCTGGAGGGAAGAACTGTTTCAGAAGACAGTGAAAGTATGAAGAAAGTGACGGCAATGACACAGCACCCAAGAACAGAATTTACAAATAAATGTGAGCACTCATTGAATGAGTCACCAACCTAGCTGGAAAAAATCAGGAAACTATATAAAATTTAAAACCATAAAAAAATATCCAAAACAAAGAATCAGAAGTATCATAAGATTTCATAGGATGGGAACCCCAGGTCAGCACTCCCAGGATGACCCCTTAAGCCTAGCAGTGCCTCAAAGGGGACAACTGTCAAGGTGACAGACTGCACAAATTACACTCAACCATCGCAGAGACGGCCCTTCAGCTTCCACTGACCCTGAGGATAGCTGGGAAACTCAAAGGGAAATGCATCAATGGGCACTCCCTCACCAGGACAGAAAAGGAGTGCTGTACCCAAAGCACACACCCTGGTCCACAGGGGCCGGGCTGGGGACATGACTGCTGCCACCCTTGAGGTTCAGTGAGGAGCTATAGGACCAGGCACTGACCAGACTCATGACAGAAATCCAGGATGCTCAGAAAACCTATCCTGAATGAAAACTGCTGAAAGTGAGAGCAGAACTCCTAACACGGGACTGCAAAGTGTCAGCACACAGAAATCATGATCGTTTGCAAGCAGCAAGCAGCAAAGGAAAAAGAGGAAGGAGTCTCCTCTTGTGATCCTAGGTAAGGAAGAGGCTTGAGCAAGGGGCTGTCCACGGGCTCCGGAACACGGAGCCAAGGGTCCACTGGGGAAGTATGCCTGCTCGCAGGAGGACGCTGGTGGGGAAAGCCCTGGCCACTGCTGTCTCCAGCCCCACCCTGAACCTAAAGCTTAGGCAGAGACAATGAGCTGCATAGCCCACAGTGCCCAGAGCTGGTACGTGCACACCAGAACACCAAGAATGGCAGTGGTACTCCGTCCTTTCCACACAACCCAGAAGACAGCTAGAAGCACTGCAGCACCCCCGAAAGGCCCCAGTGTAGGCCAAGCTCCACAGCCAATGCTCGCAGCCTGAATGCAGCCTGAGACAGTGAAAGAGAGCAGGGAGGGAAGCAGGCTGTGGGGTCCAGTCACACATCTGTGGGACTCCAATCAGGGCTGAGTCTCTCCTGCAGCAGTGAGTGAGAACACTGGCCCTGGGGGCATGGAAGGTCAGCCAAGGTCTCCAACTGGAGGCTGGCTGGGGGGGGTCAGGGATGCAGCTAGAAACGGGGGCCATGTGGGTATTGATTAATGTCTAGGAGCAGCTGGATGCTCAAAACAGATGTCACCACCAAGAAGTGATGAACAGTCTGGAGTGGGACTAGCATAGAAAAGGTTTGGGGGTGGGAGTGGGGGTCAAAGGTTAGCAATGGGAGACACATGAGAGGCACCACCCTGAAGCACATAAGGCCCCACAAGACCAGGCAGGACTCACCATCTTTTTTTTTTTTTTGTCTTTCTCATTTTTATCGGTACCGGGGATCAAACTCACGACCACCTGCTTGCAAGGCAGGTGCTTACGCCGCTGAGCTAAATCCCCAGCCCCATGGACTCACCATCTTTTGACAAGTTGGCAAGGGCACCCCTGGCCTTTGGTCGGCTATTCTCCAGTTCAATCTCAATAGCATCTTGGTAACTGGATATTTCACCTAGAAAAATCAGTCAAAAACAGAAAGTAAGCCAGATGTGGTGTACACCTGTCATCCCAGCACTTGGGAGGCTGAGGCAGGAGGAATGCTGTAAGTTTGAGGCCAGCTTGGGCTACAAAGTGAGTTCAAGGCTAGCCTGAACTCTACAGTAAAACTCCATCTCAAAAAGATAAAAACAAAGGAAATAAACCAACAAATAAATACAAAGTAAGTGCAAAGCAAACTCTAACAAAACTGAAAGAAGCATGGATGTGAAAGGGCTGGTCAATTACCTTCAACTTCCTCCAGCTGTTTTGACAGGACCTGTTCAAGCTGAAAGAGAAGAGGGGACACTCAGGGATGAAGTCCCAAGCCTGAGGCCTCGACTCACAGTGCCAACCCAGCCGGGGAGATGAGGGGAGCTCTCCTGAGGAACTGTGCTCCACCAGCCCGTGAGGCCTGACAGGAGGCTGTGGCCAGGGTGGGCCCTCAATTGTCATCACCACCTCTGCTGAGTACAGATGCAGATGTGAGGGTGTGACATGCAGTACCAATAAGATGATGAAGTGATGGTGGCTGCACTGCCTTGGTGGAGAGATGGGCATTCTGTCTTTTCTCAAATTTCTGTGTCTCACTGGTCAGCCCTCTCTGTGTTCTAGTTTTGCAGAGCCAACCAGGCCCAATGTGAGGCTGTGTTGGTGGGGACTGCAGGTGAGCCCCAGGGTAGACAGTCCGCAGGGCCTTTGCACAAGGCAGACAGGCTGGTGCAGGCACAGACGGACCTCAACCAAGCGAAGACATGGAGTGCCAGCACTGGCCCTACCTGCTTCATCCGAAGTTTCCTCTGTCCAGCTGTGTATGATGGGGGGTCGCACTCCCCCTCCAGGTCGATCTTCATGAACTCGTCAATGGTTAGCTGGCTGGTGGGGGTGTCTTCAAATTCTGTGAGTCTACACAGAGAGCGAGATGGCTGCATCTACATGAGGGTCCCAGTGGCACACACAGGCCCAGGAGCAGGGAGTCTGCACCCTTCTGACTGGTTTATACTTGAGTCTTAGATGTTCTGTACATCTTCAAAATGCTTAATGGAGAAGTTGGTATTCTTTTTTTTTTTTTGAGATAGAGTCTCGCTATGTAGTTCAGGGTGGCCATATGTCACCATGCCCAGCTGGAGAAGTTTTTAACAAAAACTAGAGATCAAATATTCAAAGTCAAGTAACCCTATCAGTTCTGGAAACTACCATAGGAGATGCTCTCAACTGAAGCATTGCCACCAGTGCCTGAGGCTTCTGAAGGGCACATCTGTGGTCACAGTTCCATGAGAAACTCCACAGACATGGTCATCCAGACAGGCTGTAAGTTACCTGGCAGCATGTCCCTGGCCTCTCCTGGCTGTGCCTAGGTATACACACATGGTAGCCCTCATCTGAGGTCACTTGGGCTAAGTCGAGAATGGGCTACACCACCCAGAGGACAAAGGGCCTGTATAGGCAGGTAATGTGCCTCTACAGACTTCGTTCCACACGACTTAAGCCAGCAGAAGCTGGGTCAGGAAGGATGCTATGGGTTGGGAGGTAGGTGGTACAGCCTCTGAAGACAGCTTTGCCTGTGGGCACTGAGCCACAAACTGGAGCACCTACCTCTTCCGCAGTGTGGACTCACACACTTTGACCACGCTGATGACTTCTTTGACAGTTCTCCGGAAATCATGCATCCTGGCGGCAACCAGAAGGGCTAGAAAAGAACAAAAGTTCTCAGAGCACAGCCATAGCTGTAATTGAGGAAAGAGAGTCTGCAATGACCCCAGAGGGGTGTGTGTCAAGAACGGTGGGCATGATGTCTGTGCCAGGACAATGGACATGTGCACCTGCAGAGCAAGGGGGCAGGTGGAGCCTACCTTCCCCAAGCAGACTAGCCACGAAGGCACTCTAGGGCAGTGACATGCCTGCTTCCACTTAGAGCACGTCTCACTTTTAAACATGAGGAGAAGTAAAGCAGAGACTGCTGAGTGTGGTGGTACACGCCTATAACCCAGCACTTGGGAAGACAAAGCAGGAGAGTCATTCTGAATTTCAGGCCAATCTGGGCTACAAACTGAGTTCAAGGCCTGCCTGAACTTCATAGTGAGACCCTGTCTCAAAAAAAAAAAAAAAAAAAAAAAAAAAGAAAGAAAAGGAAAAGAAAAAGAAAAAAAAAAAGAAGACATTTTGAGAACTTTGTATGATCCCTCAAAACACAAACATTAACTTTAGCACTTCCCATCTGGAAAACACTGGGTATAATAGCAACTTAGGCCCAGGCTAAGCACAAGAGTGTGACTTTGTCATGATGCACTAACCAAGGCCACAGTGGACAGAGAAGCCCAGAATCGGTAGCACAGATCAGAATCTGTTCCAGCGAAAATGAGTACCTGGAATATTAACAGTTCTCCAGCAGGAGGGGTAACAGGGTGTTGGAAGAAGCCAGGGCCTTGCCATGCAGGGGCTTCCCTTGGGCAGGGGGTGGGGTCTAGTAATGTCAGTCAGACTGTGACCAGCACCAACAACAAAGCACAAAGCTGTCAGCAGCAGGGCAAGTACCCAGCTAGGGTCAGAGAGTACCTTCTGCAGCAAGGACTTAGATCTCACAAAAGCAACCACCCTTAACCAGGCTGAGCTGACAACTCCTTAAGCAAGGATAGCCTGAGGTCAAGGTCAGGGAACCTGCCAATCTTTGTACCTGCCAACCGTTTTTCTCTGAGATCTTGTCCCTTATCTCAGCAAAGGAAGCAAACATAAGTCCTCGAGGGCTAAGCACCCTGTAGACCTGGGCAGTCCTACGCACAGAAGCCAGTTCTATAGCAACCCTATCCTAGGATATGATCCACATCAACAGGTCTAGCAGCTCAAAGTCAAGGGTGAGTGCTGGGGTGCAATTTAGTGGCACAGTGTCTGCTTAGTACACATGAGGCCTGGGTTCTATCTCCAGCAACATGTGGACATCAAGATCAGGATAGAAAACATCACCACCGTGGCTAGTGCACCCAGCTGTACTGAGACTAAAGCTGCCATCCCAGGGACAGGCCCAGGTCTCCCATCGCACCTGCTCCACAGAGGCCTGAGGGCCGACGGCCTGTGTGCATCCAGTCTCTCTTCATACACTGCAGCAGCCTCAGGGCTGTCATAGACACCTCGTGGTTCTTCTCGCCAAACTCCAGTAGATGGGCAAAGCGTGGGATGTAGAGGCACGGATCTGTGCAAACACATCATCTCAGTGAGCTGCACATGTGTGGCCAATGGTCCGGGGGTGCCAACCCAATGGCTAAGCAGTCCACAGGCTTGGGGGACTCCGCCCTCTCTACCCACACAGATGCCCTAGAGTCCCTTTCCCTGAGGCTGAACAGCTGCTTCCTCCTCAAGGGCTGGCTTGCTCAGGGCACAGATGGTAAGGGTCCTGCCCACTGGCCTTGGCCATGGCCACTCAGAGTACCGCCCCCACAGTGCTCTCCAGTATTTTCAGAGCGGGTGAATTCACCCTCTGAGTTCACCAGATGGCTTGCTTGACTCTTACATGCTTCAGGGCAGACAGCACGTATACATGACTGTTCCTGGTCATTACCTCCGTGGCTCTGGACATGGAGTTCACCAAGCAATGGGAAGAATTCAGTTCATCAGAGCAACACCATAGTGCACAGAAGAAACTACACAGGGCTCTAAAACAGAATGTCCAGCATACTGTCCAGAAGATCTCACTGAAGAGCATAGTTGAGGCCTGAGCACAAGGTTAGAAGAGAGCTAGGGTGGCTGTGAGTGTGTGATGACGGGACAGCACAGGGTCAATACATGGGTCAGTTCTGTCCATGTTCCCAGAAGAGCAGGAGGGACATGCACCACCACCCACCAACTCCTCCCAGAACTGCTGAGACTGAACTCTACCCCAGGAAGCCCCATGAGATCCCGCAGAGGGTTCCATTCCCAGTTCAACTCATGGGAAAGACCCATAAGGAGAAAGTCAGGTGCCTACGATCCCTGTACTAAGGAGGCTGAGGCAAGAGGATCCCTAGAGACTGGGAATTTGAGATCACCACACTGGACCACATAGTAAGACTTTGTATCAAGAAAAAGAAGGTACAGGGAAGGGTTCAGAGGACAGAGGAAATAGTGGTAGGCAGAATGCCTGGGTCCTGAGTACTATCTGGGCCACCTGGGCCTTGCTGGATGTTACAGCTGCTACAGCAGAGCCCCAAGGCAGGGCAAGGTCAGGCAGCTGTAGGCCCTACCCCTTATCCAAGGGACCAAAGGGCATGAAGAGGTTGCTACAAGGTAGACTGGGGCTATGTCCTGTTTCTACTTCTTTTTCTTTAGTTTTGGTGATTTGGTTGCTAAAAAAGATTTTACTTGGAGAAAAATGTGATACTTTTTTTTTTTTTTTTTTGTCTTTTTCCTTTTTATCGGTACCAGGGATCGAACTCGTGACTGCCGGCTTGCAAGGCAGGCGCTTATACCGCTGAGCTAAATCCCCAGCCCCAAAATGTGATACTTTTATAAACAGCCATTAAACTTTCTGTCTTTAATAAAACACAATCTGAAAAAAAAAAAAACCACAACCTGCCAGAACTAGGGCCATAGGGATGCTAAAAATTCTAATGTAGGTGAGACTTGGACTCTTAATTTCTGTAACAGAAGGCTGTGAGTTTACAAATACCTGGAAATATTTTACGAGAAATAAATTGGGACCTTTAGGGTGCGGGATGGGATCTTCAACTAGGGAAAGAAGAAAACCAAATGTAAATCATTAGTTCTTAGTCTAGATAAAAGGTACAGAAAATACAGTTTACAAGAGCCATCAAAATGCAAGGTTGAAGGGGCTGGGGAATTTAGCTCAGCGGCATAAGCGCCTGCCTTGCAAGCAGGCAGTCATGAGTTCGATCCCTGGTACCAATAAAAAGGAAAAAGACAAAAAAAAGCAAAGTTGGGGGTACACACCTGTAATCCTAGCACCAAGGGAGGCTGAGGCAGAGGGACAACAAGTTTGAGAACCACTTGGCCAAGTAAGCAAGACCTGCCCCAAAATAAAAAGATAAGGTGGGGTAGGAATGCAATTCAGTGGTACAGTGCCTCTGGGTTTGATCCCTAGCATGGGAAGAGAAGGGAAGAGAGGGGAGAAAAGAAAGAAAGGAATCAAAGAACACTACAAAAAGGCAAGAACACCCCAGCAACACATAAAAAACACCAAAAAAAAAAAAAAAAAAAAAAAAAAAAAAAAAAAAGGCAAAGAACAAAAATGCGAGTATCAGGCCAGGGATATAGCTCATCAGGCACTGGGCTCGCCTGGCAAGTGAGAGAAGTGAGAGGTCATGAGTTTGATTCTCAGAACCACCACCACCAAAAAACATGTTACGGTTGCCCTCTCTTGCCCAAGATGTCACTGACATTGTGCAGCACCATGCCGGGTCTCAATGACTTAATTTGACAGAACAGATTTCAAATTCTGTGCCCTACAGTGTGATTCTTCTTTCCTAAAATCTACAGAACAGAGAGGGGAAAGGAAAAGAAAGTAAAATGAAATAGGATGTGAGCCAGGTATGATGGCACATACCTGTAATCCCAGCACTCTGAAGGCTGAGGCAGGACTATTGGGAGTTTGAGGTCATTTTGGGCTATAGTGAATTCAACACCAGCCTGAACTACACAGTGAGACCCTGTCTCAAAAAACTAACGAACAAACGAACAACCCCAAAAAGGATGTGCTATAAACATGCACCAACTCCCCGCAATGAGTGTAATCATTATGTGCCACAGACATGGACTAGTAAGTTTTTTTTAACAAATCAGTGAAATGGTCATACAAATGGTGTGTATTAAAGAACGAAGAAATCTTTACTCAATACAGAAATCTCATAGGACATATTCTTTGATCACAAGTGAAATGGAACTTCAAAATTAGTCAAAAAAGAGAAAAGTATAGTCCCCTCGTCTTCAAACACTAAGGTGAAATGATAGAACAATCCCTTAGGGCCAGGGAGATATATATATATATATATATATATATATATATATATATATATATATATATATAGCTATATAGATAGAGATAGAGATAGAGATAGAGATAGAGATATAGATATAGCTATCTGGTAAAGGCAAGGTCCTGAGTTCAATTCCCAGTACCAAAAAACCAAACCAAAACAAAAAACAACCTCTTAGATATGTTTGTACACTTGAGCACTTTTTACAATTAAGGAAGAAACAATGAACTAAAAACAAAATTAAAAATTAAAGTAAATCTTTTAAAAGCAGGAAAAAGGACTAATAAAGAAAAATAAACAACAAATAAAAACAGCATACTAGTGGCAGAAAGACAGACCTGCAGACCAACGTACAGAACAGAAAGCTGAAGAAACAGGCTTGTATTAATTGTCACAGACTTTCGACAAGATGCTAGATGACACAATGAGGGGAAGACAGTCTCCTCAAGAACAACAGAGAGGAAATGCAGAACAAGATGGACTCTCATCTGACACCATGCAAAGAAGGAGCACAAAGCAGATTAAAAACCTAAGCATATGACTTAAAGTACAAAACTCTAATAAATCATTGAGAAAGGCTGTATCACACCAAAAATAAATGGAACTAAAGCAGAAACAGGATTACTTCAAACTAAAAAACTTCTGCACAGTAAAGTACTCAAAGAAAGGTGAAAACATACACAAAACATATATATGCATATTCTTTCTTTTTTAAAATTTTGGTCTTGTCTTTTTGAGACAGGGTTTCACTATGCAGTTCAAGCTGGCCTTGAACTCACTTGAATTCACCCTGCAGCCCAAGGCTGGCCTTGAACTTCCAGCAGTCCTCCTGCTTCAGCCTCAAAAGTGTGCAAACCATACATTTAATTAGCATCAAAATCCACAACATGAAAGAACTTGAACAATTCAATAACAAAGAAAATGACCTGATTAGAAAACCAGTACAGGGTCTGAGTAGAAACCTCACCAACTTGAGCATGGTGGCACACACCTATACATCCAGCAGTCTGGGAGGCGGAGGCAGATGGATCGCAAGTTCAAGCCTGGGCAAGTTAGTGGAACCTAATATCAACATAAAAAGTAAAAGGAGCTAGGGATGTAGCTCCATGCAAAGGTTCACATCCCAAAGGTCAGAGATGAAACAGCTCACTGCCCATCTCTGGTTCATGCTTTAGCGAAGAGAGGGAAACGGGGAAGGAGGTGGGAGAGAGAGGGAAAGGAGGAGGACAGGGGCAAGAGGGAAAGAATTTTACCAAAGAGATACATACAGCACACAGAAAGATGTCCACAGGACTAGCTGTCAGAGAAATGTAAGTCAAACCACCTCATACCCACTAGTGTGGAGTAGGACCTGTGTAAAAATGATCCAAATATGGGTAGGTACCAGGCCAAGATGAATGCAATAATGTATCAGAACTATACTAATATAAAAGAGCAGGACCAGGAATATAGCTCAGTGGCACAGAGTTTGCCTGGCAAGCATAAGGTCCTAAGTTTGATTCCTGATACCCACCTAAACAAACAAACAATCAAATAAATAAAAAGAGCAAAATTACTAGGCACGGTGGCACATATCTATAATCCTAGCTGCTCAGGAAGGAGGCTAAGGTAAGATTGCTAATGTGAGCCAGCAACTTAGACTTCATCTCAAAAAAAAAAAATAAAAATAAAAAATAAATAAATATATATATATATATATATATATATATATATATATATATATATATAAAATAACTGGGAATGTGGCTTGGTAGTAGAGCAGAGTGCCTCTGGGTTCCATCTCCAGGACTGAAAAAATGAAAAATCGGGGTCAGGGATATACCTCAGCAGTACAGCACCTGTCTGGCCAAGTGCAAGGTTGTGAATTTGATTCCCAGTTACTAACACAAACAAACAACCAAATAAACAAGAGAGAAAAAATCTCGCTTCTGGGTATAGATCCAAGGAACTAAAATCAGGGTATCAAAGGGAATTTTTACCCCTCAAAGGACAAATATTGTATATGAGGCACCTAGAGTTGCCAAACTCATAGGTACAGCAGAGAAAAGTGGTCCTTGGGGATCAGTAAGTAGGAACATGGAAGATGTGCGGGAACCCTAAGGTTCTAAGCAGCCCTTCCTAGTACCCTACCACACCCTCAACCATCCACCCAGGTTCTGAGTGTACTTCTAATTATTCTTTCTCACTACAGTGATTCTTTCATCCTTTCCCTTGCTGATGGACACGGGAGCTATTTCCATTCTGCCCATTTCCATTACTCCTTAAAAACTGTTTATGCCCTTTTACCGTTTTCTCTAAGAACAGACAGCTGGGCCAGAACCACTGTCACAGTGGCCACCTGCTATGGCTTCTGTGGATGTGTCTTCAGATGGACTTTCTAGGCTGCACTGTATGTACAGTCAGCTTTTCAAAGCGATCAGCTCTCAGGGTAATGAGCAGAGAACTCCAGGTCCCCATGCCCAGCATCCTTCCTGGAGGTTAGGTCACCTCCAGGGCCCAGAGATACTCTCCTTGCTAACTAATGATATGAGCACTTTCCATGTGCTTCCGTTTGGATAGCGGCTGTTCTTATCTTTTGTCTATTTTCTCTAAAAAGTTGGATCATCAATCATTTTCATCCTTCTTGTACTCAACAGTCCTTTGTTGGAAACATAGGAAGTATCTCTTGAAAAGCATGTTTCCCAAGGGAATACTCTTCAAAAATGAGTACCTTGAACCTTGAACAGATCAATAACCCATTGGAAAAAAAATGAAATCTTATTTTCAAATTTTAGGCTGGGTTATGTTACCCATGTTTCAGGATTAGCATGCAGATGCCAAGAAGCTATGTGGAGTATTAGAGACCCTCAAATGCCTAGACCTGGTAATACCTGACTAACGCCAGCTGGTAACAACTATCACTAGGCAAGATACTTGACATAAAGTCCTAACAGTAAGAGTCAAACTGGCCAAGATTATACCACATTGGGCAGGCTCACAGAGGCCAGGCACATGTCCCTGAGACCAGAGAGCCCATGTTCCAAAGCAGGATGCTTAAGATCCACCTAGATTTCCCAACCTCTCTGTGCATGATTTTTCCAGGAAAACAACAGTCCCTACCTTCTCAGAGCTGATTTATGTAAAGCATTTAGGGCAGGGTGAAAAGGTGTTTCCAGGACTTGCAGCAATCTAAATGATTAAGTGTCCAAAGAAGGCAGAAAAAATAGTACTAACAGACAAATTTAGAACAAAATACAAATGGGCAATAAATACAGAAAACTGTGTTCAACTGTATTGGTCATTAAAGAAATGCAAACTAAACAGTAGAATATAATTAATTTCCCATGTATTAACTGGATGGAACCCAGAGCCTCAAAGATGCTAGGCAAGCACTCTCCCACTGAGCGATCCCAACCCCCAGACCAAATTCATACAACAAAGACTAGAAATAAGACTCAGCCTCTTACATGCTCCCAAGGGGCCAGAGTAGTACTGAAATACAGTACTACTAACTGTATTTCAAGGTAGGTGATGGGCCACAGACTACTCCCAAGTCCTCAGGTGGATGGATACTGGACAATGGGGTGCCCAGAGACCAACTTGCAAGTATACAGAGGACACAGGGCTCAAAGTATGCCCAAGAGGGCTGAGGTAATTTCTTGTGAGGAGAAGAATTAGCTATGTCAGGTTTTTCTACAAAACCTGAGCTGTAGAGTCAGGAGTGGTGGTGCCCATCTGTAATCCCAGTACTCTGAGAGGCTGAGGCAGAAAGCCTGGGTAAATTCTGCAGCTTAAGAGAGACACTGTTTTATAAAATAAGAAACTAAAAAACAGCCTTATATACACACTTTAATAGAACACACTTTTATGTGGTCGTATTACATTACTTGGCCTCTTACAATGTAGTTTCACTGCTCTTAGCTTAAAACACAGAAGTCTTTTAAAAACTTGCATCATGTGTAAAACACCAGGTAATATGTATAAAACAGGAAGCTCCAGTAATAAAATATTTTAGTATATGTGCTGCCAAAGCAAGCACTTTGGTAACAACTTTATTTTATTTTTGTATCCGGAATCTAACTCAGGACTTTGTGTATGCTGGCCAGGCACTATGCCACTGAGCTACATCCCCAGCCCTTGGAATCAACTTTTAGCCTGTGAATTGGCAAAAAAAAAAGTCATTGGAATCACATATATGAAATACTGGCTAATATTAATTTATTGATGACATATTTATTATGGTGCAATACTGTAGATTTTTTAGCTTAAAAATTAGCTATCTGAGCTAGCTTATTCTCTTCAAATCAGAAGGAACTGAGGCTGTGCTGACATGCTGTAAGTTTTCTTCAAGGTGCCCAGGAGTTCAGTGCATTCTTTAACAACCTTACTGAGGTATAACACTCCCCAAGTAACCCACTCTAAGTGTACAGTTTAATGATTTTCAGTAAATTTGCAAAGTTATGCAACCATCACCATGATCCAGTTTGAGAGCATTTTCATCACCCCAGGGAAACCCCTCATGCCCTTTTACAGTTAATCCCCTTCCCTACCACTGTTCCCAGAAGATGACTAATCTCCCTCTCTATAGATCTGCCTTCATCAGCTACTTCAACAAATGGAATCATACATTATGCGGTCTTTTATGTCTGGATTCTTGTATTTAGCATAATATTTTTCAGGTTCAGCTATTTTGCAGCTGCTTGAGTATTTTGTCGTTATTTTATTACTGAGTAGTATCATATTGTATGAATATACCAGATTTGCTATCCATTCATCAGTTAATGGAAAGCAAAGTCATCTTCGATTTTGGCTACTGTCAGAAGTGGTGTGGCCTCTACTCACTTGCAAATCTTTGTGCACATGTTTTCATGTCTCTTGCTGGACTTCATGTTTTCATGTTGACTTGCTGGATCCTATGGTGGATTTATGTTTGAGTTTAAAAGACACTGCCAAACTATTTTCCAAAGTAACTATACTGTTTCCTATTCCCACCAGCAATGCATGTTTCAGTTTCCTCATACCCTCACCAACATTCATTATCTGTTCTTATGATTACAGATATTCTAATAAACATGAAGTATCATCACAAAAAAAAAAATTAGCTATCTGTACATATATGTAACACTTCGTTACGTGCAAAAATGTTACTAAGAAAACTGACCAGTTACTTTTAAGGTGCTGTCACATATTTTGCAATGAATGACCCAAAACCACTTTAAACCATTGTTATAGAAAATTTACAAAAGCAAAATTGGAAAGCTTTGTTTCAAGTCTTTGCTTTCTAAAGAGCTCTACTTATACATGTCTAAAGCCTCTGATAATGTGTACACAATATAGCTGATAGTGCTTTGTCACAATTTACAGTTGAAAAAATACAAATAAAGGGAGGCTGGGGATGTACCTCAGCCCTGGTTTCAATCCCCAGGACCAAAAAAAACAAACCACCCCAAAACCGAGCTGCTATCATCTCGTCTCCAGGTGAAGAAGCGCACCGAGGGGAACTGAGCTGCTTCCTGGAGCGAACAAGTCCGGAGACTAGAACCCCAACAAGGAGGCCGAAACGCTCCCGCCCCTCCCGGCCAAGACGACTGGGCGGAGCAGCGGAGGGCGGGGCGTAGTGAACGCTCCGTGACGTCACCAGACGCGCCGGCGCGGCGAAGGGTACCCGCAGGGAGGTTGGAACGGCGCCCCCAGCGGCCGGCCGGGGCTGTAGGCATCTGGCTCCGTGCGGGGCGAGCGGCCCCTGCGGGCTGGGGCTGAGACGCGGGCTGGGGCTGAGACCCGGGCCGGGCTGGAGCCAGGGTGCGGGCGGGCCCCATGCTGCTGCCGTTGGCCTGCTTGCACGGGCGGGTGGCGCAGTGCCTGACTTCGCTGCTGGTGCTCGCAGAGCCGCTCCCTCGGCCCCGGCGCGGCGGGAGGGCGCGCGGCACGGCGCCGACCTGCGCAGAGGTCCCCGCCGCCGCGCCCGGAAAGATGGCTGCGGAACTGTACCCACCCGCCGCTGCCGCCGCCGCCGCCGCCGCCGCCGCCGCCGCCAGCGACCTAGCCAACAGTAACGCTGCGGACTCGACAGCGGGCAGGAAGGCAGGCCCGCGCAGCCCGCCGCGCCCTGCGCCCGCGCCGCCACCGCCCGCACCCGCGCCGCCCGCTCCTGACAACAACAACGCGGAGAGCCCGCACTGGCAGGCCTTCCACCCCACGCTCCGTGAGCGGAACGCGCTTATGTTCAACAACGAGCTCATGGCCGACGTCCACTTCGTTGTGGGCCCCCCGGGAGCCGCCCAGCGGGTGCCAGCCCACAAGGTGGGTAGTGACGCAGCTCCCCGGAGCCTGCGGGGCCGTGCTGCTGCTCACAGCTCTCTCTCGCCCACAGTATGTGCTGGCCGTCGGCAGCTCTGTCTTCTATGCGATGTTCTACGGGGATCTTGCGGAAGTCAAGTCCGAAATCCACATTCCGGACGTGGAGCCTGCCGCATTCCTAGTCTTGCTAAAGTAAGTGGTCTGCTAGGGCGGGAGGAGTGGGGGTGGGGTGCGTTCCTCTCTGCTGGCCCCCTGCGCCATCCTCTGCAACTCCGGAGGGGTCACCCAGCAGACCCCGATGGAGCCCCTGCCTTCCAGGTACATGTATAGTGACGAGATCGATCTTGAGGCCGACACGGTGCTGGCCACTTTATATGCTGCCAAGAAATACATTGTACCAGCCCTGGCAAAAGCCTGTGTTAACTTTCTGGAGACAAGTCTGGAAGCCAAAAACGCCTGTGTGCTGCTGTCCCAGAGCCGGCTGTTTGAAGAGCCTGAGCTGACTCAGCGCTGCTGGGAGGTCATTGATGCCCAGGCCGAGATGGCCCTGAGGTCTGAAGGCTTCTGTGAGATTGACCGACAGACGTTGGAGATCATCGTGACTAGAGAAGCCCTCAACACAAAGGAGGCAGTAGTCTTCGAGGCTGTCCTGAACTGGGCTGAGGCAGAGTGCAAAAGGCAGGGCCTGCCAATCACTCCACACAACAAGAGGCACGTTTTAGGACGAGCCCTCTATCTAGTCCGAATTCCAACCATGACTCTGGAGGAGTTTGCCAATGGTGCTGCCCAGTCGGACATCCTGACACTGGAGGAGACCCACAACATCTTCCTGTGGTACACTGCTGCCAACAAACCCCTCCTTGATTTTCCTCTGACCAAGAGGAAAGGCCTTGCCCCTCAGAGATGCCACCGGTTCCAATCTTCGGCCTACCGCAGCAACCAGTGGCGGTACCGTGGGCGCTGCGACAGCATCCAGTTTGCTGTAGACAGAAGGGTATTTATTGCTGGGCTGGGCCTGTATGGGTCCAGCTCTGGGAAAGCAGAGTACAGCGTGAAGATTGAACTCAAGCGGCTAGGGATGGTTCTGGCGCAGAATCTGACCAAGTTTGTGTCAGACGGGTCCAGTAACACCTTCCCTGTCTGGTTTGAGCATCCAGTCCAGGTGGAACAGGATACCTTCTACACAGCCAGTGCTGTGCTGGACGGCAGTGAGCTCAGCTACTTTGGGCAGGAGGGGATGACTGAAGTGCAGTGTGGGAAAGTTGCCTTCCAGTTCCAGTGTTCCTCAGACAGCACCAATGGGACAGGAGTCCAGGGTGGGCAGATCCCAGAGCTTATCTTCTATGCCTAAGGCTGAGGGGCACAGAAGGCACAGCACCTGGCCCTTGCGCTACCAGAAGCCTCTCAGTATAAGTGCAGGGGAGGTGCAGGACACTGCTGACTGCCTTCTAGGCACCCTGAAAGGCTTCACTACGTGTATCAGCTTGAGTCTGTGAACAGACACCTTTTCCACACAAAGCCTGGTGGCTGAGGCTTGGTGTTTGCTGTTCATGGAGTGTGTACCTCATAAGGGTAAGAGCTGGGACCCAACCCAGGAACCAGATCCCTACCCAGGGGCAACCAGGCTTTGGGCACTTGGATGTTCCTCCCAGCCTTTTGGATTCCAACTAGTTCTAAGCTTGCTTTGAGACCCTCCGTTCAAATAAAAATCACCAAAAAGTCACTTAAAATACTTTACCTATTTAAGTGAATTTTCATAATAAAGGTTTTGCAAAAAGAGATCCACATATGGGTAAGTGACTACAGGCCATATGCTGGGGACACGTTTCCAAAAGCTGCTGTTAAATGAAGGTGGTCTGCAATGCTGAATGGTCAGAAAGAAACTGTGACCAGAGTGCCCATCTGTCGCCCAGACCCCTGTGCTTCTCTGTCTATAGCCAGGTATACTTCCCAAAAACATCACAGAAACCTCAGTCTTGAGGGGGGAGGTACACTGTGGGTGAAAGATTCTCACAGCCCGTCTTCCCAGATGTACAGTGCATGGCTCTGCTTTGTCTTGGAAAATCTCAGCTTGATCTCCAGAGGGAGGCAGGGGAATGACCACACAGGTAGTAACACAGGAATTGGCTCCCAGCTGCTCTACCCTGACCCCAGGTGGTACCTCTTAACTACCAAGAGTACAATTCCAGATGCTGATAGTCACCAGTAAGAAGACCCTTTAAGCTGGTTACAAAAACCAGCTTTCTTGCAAAACTCAAAGGGCTAGAGAAAATACCCATCTCCAGAAACCGCCTCTCATCCCTATCTATGAGAAAGTTCCTCCTTCCTCGAGGTGTCTATTGGCTATTTATATTCGTCTCTTGTGAACAGTACAGGCTCCCAACTCCCAAGTGTCCCACCCACGTGGGTTCCCAGCAGATGTGAGGTATTTCTTGCCTTGGAGTCCTGCACTTTGATATGCCATCCTCCCACCCTTTAACACTTTGGCGTGCTGGTTTCCAAAGGCCCAATGGTATCCTGACCATGCCCCACATACCTATAGCTGGAGCATTGATGCAGAGCTCCCTTGCTAAGAGCAGAAATGTCTTCCCCAACACATACACGTTCACCTGTGGTGGGAAGAATAAAACCAGAAATGCACTGGTGTTTAAGGAAATGTCTCCCTTTTTGGTTTGTTGAACTGGGGATGGAACCTAGGGACTTAGGCATGCCAGGCAAGTATGCCACTACTAATAAGCTGCATCCCCAGTACCTTTTTTCCCTCCACAAAGTGCCTTTTTTTTTTTTTTTTTTTCTTTTTCCTTTTTAGCGGTACCAGGGATCGAACTCACGACTGCTGGCTTATAAGGCAGGCGCTTATGCCGCTGAGCTAAATCCCTGGCCTGTGCAGTACCCCTCCCCTAGGTGTGGCTGTCTCCACTGGCTCCCAAGGTACACAGGAATAGGCTCCTGCCAACTTCCAGGCCACTGTTAGCCACTGATCCATTTGCTTAGAAACCCTGCCTTAAACTGTCAAGTGTGATCACTGTGCACATGATGCTTGATTCAAAACTAAACAAGGGCTGGGGATTTAGCTCAGTGGCTTAAGTGCTTGCCTGGTAAGTGTGAGGTCATGAGTTTGACCCCCGGTACCAAATGAAAAAAAGGCCTCCCTACTTGGCCACGCCATCTCCACTCCATGGCTTTGTGGGCCCAAGAAGTTTTGTGTTTCTCCACTGCTCCCACTACAAGTTCCTATCAGCCACCTCACTTCCTTGCCACAGGGTGAGTGGAAAAGGTAGGGCCCAGTCCCAGGACTATCTCAGAGCTGTCAGTCTGTGATGCTGGGAGCACCTGTGCAGCACTCCAGGCACAGCTTAGTGGTCAGTGCAGTCCTCAGTGAACTACGCTTCCCAAGGAGCCCAGTGCTGAGAAGTGCTGCAGTTGTGGAGAGGATACTTCTGAGGGGTCAGAATGTAGATGTAGGACAAGCAATCCAGACAGGGCAGCTTAGACAGCAGGCAGGGCTAGAGCTCTCAGAGCATGCTGGCTGTCTCCATCATATGCCTGTCCTTGGGACTTCCAGGTCTCAGTGTGACTGGCCTGGCCCTTAATTCTGGCTTCTCCAAAGAAAAGGTTGCCTGAGCAAACCTCGCCTATCGGCCCTTAGCCAAGGTCCTTTTTCCTGGCATGAAAGTAACACTCTGGGTCCCTGCAGACTTGAAAGACCAGGGGGTTTAAGAGATGACACAGTGTTAGAGGTGGAAGCTGGAGGGAATGTTTTAGACATGTTAGCTCATGGAGCCTCACAGTCAGAAGGGCTAAGGCTGAGACTCCATATCCAGGCAGCAGCAGACAACTTCAGTCACTACCCTCAACTCACAGTGGGTGCACTTTCTGTCTTTGAGGTCCCCGAGGGCTTCATCCTGAAAGCTGGTGGCTCAGAGTATGGTTTCTCAAGGGGTTCCTGCTTAAGGGGTTTCCAGGAGGTACCAGGGTCTGTGCACCAAACTGGATGGTATGTGTAAGCATGTAGTATGACCATGTAGTATGACCACATAGTATGCAGTATGTGTATGTGTGTGTAGTTGTACAGCATGTACAAGCCTGGGGTATGTGCATGTGTGTGATGTGCCTTAAGTGCAGAGGCATGCAATGTGAGCACAGTCATCTGACAACCCCAGCCAAGATCCTGGGTTAGCTCTTCTGGCTCCATCTGTGTTTGGGCCACTATGGCTGTTACTGAGATGGCCAGGTCACACTGGAAGGCCATCCTTGGCCTTTGCCTGCCCACTTCAGACTCCTCTGCACCTTAACTTTGAGTCTTAGACACAGCCTTAGATAATAAGCCCTTAGCACTACAGAAAAAGGTTCTCTAAACAAACCAAAGTTATAAAAAGTTATGTGTATAAAAATATAGGCAACTCTTTCCAAAGATACATTTTCCTACCTAGGCTGGCCTTGAACTCGGGCTAAAGCAAACCTGACAGTGGGGACCACAGGCACGTATCACTGTCCCTGGCTTCAAGAGGTACTAATCCCTTCAAGTACTGTTTATCAGAAATGGTCCCACTAACAGTGTGAGGCCAACACTGCTCCCTGAGGGCAAGTGGTCAGGATTGGCCCACACTCCCATTTCTCCAAGGAGAGCATTTGATTCTGCATAGATTGCCCCTGTAGGCCTTGGTTTTCCCTCTGGGGCACTGTACACCTGGCCAGATGGGCCACCTTGTACCTGCCATAAGGCAGGGATCAAACAGCTTTCCATGTGGGCCCACTGGAGGACCTAGAGAACAAGCTAGACATGGCTATAGAGCAGTTCTTGCACGGGGATGCCGTATGCTTCTCTACCTCATTAGTGCCAGCTAGAGGGTGGCAGATGTGATCTGAGCATTGGGGAGATGGTTAATTCTGGGATGTATGTGAATCAAGATGTGTGTAAACTCAGGGTGGTCTCCTCTAATTTAATCTTTCACCTGTTTCCTCTAACCAGTCAGCCTTTCTGGGAGGTAGACCTTCTGGTTAAGGTCCCAGAAGGCCACACACAGGTCTTAAGAAAGATGGGGTACCCCTCTGGTTCCCCATGGAGATTTCAGGGAAACAAAGGAACCAGTTGTGGACCCCTCCAGATCCCAGCTTCCAGCAAGGCCGAGCCTCTGACAGGCACCAAAGCCTCACACTCAGCTCTGCCCTGCTAGCTACAGTATCAAAGGTCCACCTGACCATGTAGCCCCCCTGCCCAGCACAAGGTCCTCAGCCCTTCCTGGCCGCCTGCTGTCCAGACACTCCAGCTGGCTTCTGTTTCCAAAGCTGTGAAGCTGGAGTTGACTGCTGCATCCTGCTGTGCCTCCAATTGCTGCCCATGCCACTTCCTGCTGCTCAGCCCATGCTGAGGTCGGTCCTAGCTCCAGCCCGTCTTTTCTGAGAAGTCATGAGCTTAGAGATGGGCTCATGTGACCTTGCCCTGAACTGAATACAGCACATATGGAATGTGAAGTCACTGGATGATCACGATTTCAACATGTTATTTTTAACTTCACAAAATATTTCAGAATAACTGCTGAGAGCTGCCATTTATAAAGACAACTGGGAAGACAAAAATACAGGGCACCATGTGAACCTGAGGAACTTTGACTATTGGTAGCTACAGTACTGGAGGACACCAAGGCCTTGGCACCAGAGGTAGCATCCTGGCCTGTGGGCGCCTAAAACCCTGGGAACCTGTCAGGTTTGGACAGAAGACTTCATTTCATTGTGAAATCCGTCACTTCTTCACACTAATTGCCCTCATTTCAATGGTGTTTCTCTTTCCTAGGCCTCAAGGCCCAGCCACAACTCAGTGTGGGGACTTCAGTCAGCCCCCAGCCAGCAGCACCCCAGAGCTGCCCGTGAGTGTCGCTAGTTGGGTTTTCTCACAACATCCATTTGGAAATAAGAGATGCAACAGAAAATGCTTTCTCTAAACCCAGAAAGCATGACTATAAATAGATAGTAAGTATAAGGCTTTTCCACAATTTAAAATGCCTACAAGGGGTCAACTTTTTGTTTTTCTTTTTCCTTTTACCCAGTTCAGAGTTCTGTGGGTTTCTCCTCTGTTTGTAATGCTGGCTTCTGGGCTCTGGGTAGCACCATGACTATGAGCCTGGGAAGCTGCCTTTGGAGCCCCAGTGCACCAAGGGACATGCTTTGTGAGCTGCTCTTCCCATAGACAGAGACCTCCCAGCCATCCCTGGATGGGGAAGCCCAAAGAAGAAAAGTGATCTACCTGAAGCAGGTCGCTGAGGTCAAGGAGCATGTCTGCAGCCAGGGTTAAGGAGCATCTTCATTCACAGGAAGGAGCCAAACCACACTTGCTGCCCTCCACTTGGCACTAATCAGTAAACAGAGGCTACCTGAACCCAATGTGGGACTTAATGCCTGGCCAGGACTTTCTGTCCTCCAGACATAGCGGTGGGGGTAGGTGTTGGGTGGGCACTCTGTAAACAGAGCTAGGACAAAGGCTCCAACAGATGCTGGGAGCCACGCTGGGGAGTCAAACACAGATCCCTGATCCACGTGATCCTTAAGGGAGCACAGGGTTCCACAGACCACCGTACCTGCCTGGCCACCATTGCCTACCACACTAAGGCTTTTTGTCCCTAAGGCAGAAATGTGCAAGTGACCACACTTAGCCTCCACTTTTCGAGTTCTTGCTGAGGGCCTTATCTGGTACCAGGCAGCATACTGAGGCAGCCCACAAAGACTCCCCCTGGAGAGGGACCCACACATGCCGAAGTGGTGTGTGTGTTCAGCATTCAGCCCAAAAGGCTAGTGCTCAAGGGCACAGCTAAAAGTACTCTAGGATGAGACCTGGTCTCACTCTCTACAGATGAGCAAACAGTATCAAGGACTGTGCTCAGCAAATCCAAAGACATGGCACAGACAATAGCAAACAGGTCCTTGGTAGGGCTACTGCTGTCAGTAAAATTCATTCAAATGAACACCACTGGCTGGGGATATCACTCAGTGCTAACTGTGCTCAGCAAGTACAAGGCCCAGATTCTGTCTCAGCATCACATTAAAAAAAGTGATGTGTTCTGCTGCTGGCTCCAGAAGCAAGAAAGCCTGATGGAGTCAGAGCCCAGAGTAGGTGTGCCTGTGTGTGAGGGGAAGTACTGGGACCTAGACATGCAAAGAGAAAGAAGTCCACAACATTCCAACCCAAGATCCAGGCAGCAAAACCTGGCTGCCAAGCCCTTGGAGGAAGGGACATCATTGCCGAATCGCATAGGTACCAGCTCCATCAGGGAGGAAGCAACAGAGAGTCAACTAGTCTAGACAACGAACTGAAGAACTGAAGGCAGAAAACAAGACAGAAGCAGGATAGCAGAAAGAACAAACACAGGCAGAAGGGCCATGCTCTGTGATTTGACTCCATGATACTCTGGAAGGAAAAGACAAAACTGTGAAGACAGGAAAAAGATCAGCAGGAGTCACTGCCTGGAGGGAGAGGGATGACAAGGTGGAACACAGGAATTTAGACCAGGGCAGTGTAGCAGCAGATGAGGACCATACACATCTGTCCAGCATGTATGTCCCAACAGTGACTCTCAAATACCCTGGGTTGGGCTGTAATGTGCTAGTGCTGGCTGTCCCTAGTGAGAAACAGCACCCTGACTCGGAGGCTGGCAACAGCCAACTATGGGATAGAGGGCAGGTGGGATATGGTGGCACACGACTGTATCCCAGCACTTAGGAGGCTGAGGCAGGAGGATTGCCAGTAGTTTGAAGGCAGCCTAGGCTTCATGATGAGTGCAAGGCCAGCTTGAACTACATAGAGACCCTATCTCAAAAAGAAAAAAAGTTAACAAAGGCCAAAAGACAGGACAAAACTTGTGAACATAAATTTCACACTGAGAAACAAAATAGCTATCACACAAGACATGAACTCAGCTATGTTAAGTCACCATAGAAACAAACACCAAGGAGCAGTGGCAGGACATAACACTGACAAAAACAAAGGCACAGATACCACAGCCAAACACACTGCCACAGTGCCAAGAAACAGCCACAAAACAGCCTGGGGGTTCTCACCCAACTAAATATGCACCCACCCCAGCCCAGTGACTGCACTCCCAGCATTTACCCCTAAGCAACAATACTATCCACAGAAAAACTTACCCAAGATGTTCTGGCAGCTTCAGTCATAATGGCCCAAATGAGAGAAGAGGCCAATCAAGAGAAAAAAATCAATGATCTACCTAACGTGCACAGGACAGTATTCGGCACAGAAAGCAACATGGGGAAATACCAAGCATACCAAGTGACTGAAACCTACAGAAAAGAGCTCAGGCAGTGTGATGCACTCTCAGGATGCCCTAGAATAAGATACTAGTCTACAGCAGAAAGACACAACAGTGGCCACCTATAGGACAGGGCAGAGCCCGAGGAACACTCTGAAATGCTGGCTTTGCTCTGCTGTTCTATGGATTACTGGATGTGCAGATGAATGCATTTGTCACCTATAACCTGGGTGTGGTCATGCACACATGTAATCCCAGCACTCTAGGAGGGCGAGACAGGATCCCAAATTCAAGCCCAGCCTGGGCTTGAATTTAGCAACTTAGTGGGGCTTATCTCACAATAAAAAATAGAGGCTCAGTACTAAGATCCTGGGTTCAATCCCTAGTACTGGAGAGAAAAAAGGAGCCAGGTGCAGTGACATGTACCTATAATTCCATCACTCTGGGAGGCTGGTACAGAGAATGGCAAGTTTTAACCTGGCCTGGGAAACTCGGCAACTTAGGTAGCCTGTTTCAAAATAAAAGACAAAAATACACAAATAATAAATTATTTATGTATGTATGTATGTATTTTGTTTTTGTTACCGGGGATTTAACTCACAACCTTACACTTGCCAGGCAGATGCTGAGCTAAATCTCTGGTTATTTATTTTTTGAGGCAGGGTCTTGCTATGGTGTCCAGACTGGCCTTGAACTCACCGAAATCCACTTGCCTCAAGCTCCCAAGTGGTGGATTACATACATGAGCCACCATGCTTGGCTAAAAATAATCTTTTAAAAAAAACCTATTTGTGAGCTGGGGGTTTAGCTCAGTGGCGCAAGTGCCTGCTTGGCAAACACAAAGCTGTGAGTTCGATCCTCGGTACCAAAATACACACACACACACACACACACACACACACACACACACACACACACAAACCTGTTCGTTTTATTCTATGCCAGTTTTATTTCCAAAGAAAAATTATAAGTAATGAACTTAAAAGCTAAAGGAGGGAGCCAAGACCTGCAACTTGCTTTGAATACATAAGAAGATGAGCGATGAATAGCTTCTGGGGAGGCGGGCAATCATGGCAGAGTGAGGTCTGCAATATTCACAGAAAATTACTTTGATTTTGAGATGCTTGAAAAATTTCACAATAAATCCATGAGAGAACAAGTATGTTACTTTTTTAAAGGAGACTGGACTTAAACTGTTAACCAAGTTAAACAGGTATCAGGTTACTCATGGGTCTGACAGAGTATCTACATGGTCCCCTGGCTGTGGACAGAGGAGTGGAATCTCTACCTGCCAAGAAGCCCAGACGGCTGGCACCCGCCACTGTCTACCACACACCCCTTCTGACTGCCTCTTATTCAGCAACCTGGCCTGTACATGCTATGCCAAAAGCCAGGACAGTGGCACCACTGAGCCTCTCAATACTCACTGCCAGCCAACACTGACACATGCTGGCCACACAACCCTGATGCCAGCAGTCCTTGTATGATCCTCGCTGTTTATACAACCCTGATACCTGCTATGTACATGACAACCTAATAATTGCTATCTACACAATCCTGGGCCCTGCTCTCTGACAACATGCCCAGGAGGTACTAAATCCCTTGGTTCCCCAGTTTCTCACAAGGGCAACTGAGCCTGGAAAGAAAGATTAAGCTCAGGGCTGGGGGTTTAGCTCAGCAGCATAAGCGCCTGCCTTGCAAGCAGGCAGTCGTGAGTTTAATCCCTGGTACCGATAAAAACGAAAACGACAAAAAAAAAAAAGAAAGGTTAAGCTCAGAAGGAGAGCCAGAACTGAATCCAGAGGGTCTGGCTCATGTTTTGGCTTGTGCCCCAGCAGAGGATGAAGTGGAGTAGCCTCCAAGATGCCAGAAACTGTCCTCCCTGCCCAAGTGGAGGAAGGCTACTGCCAACAGAGGCTTCCCAGCACATCCATGAGCCCTGCATTGGGCAGCTCCTGCAGAAGCACACAGCGGGGTGTGATGTCCAAGAAGACAAAAGAGAAGGAGCTTCATCCCAAGCTTCCAGAAGTGAGAGCCTAGTTGGGGGAGAGGGCATCTGGGACCCACAGTCTGCCTGGAGCAGGCTCTGATGGATCTCAGACACAGCTTAGGGTGGCATCCGTCATCCCAGAGCTTAGACAGAATCAGGCCCTGTGAGGACCCAGCTTCTAGGTCACATTAAGAGCCCTGCCCCTGACACAACCACAGAGTCAGCCTCATGCTGATCTCAAGGCTTGATAGGGTCTGAACAACCTACGGGGACAGGGGACCTGCCTACCTTTCATTTCACAGAAGGGCTGAGCCCCCACAAAGGGCCAGCATGTCCCTGTTCCACTGTGTTTCCCATGCAGCACATTAAGTCTAGAACTACAGCAGCCTGCACTAAGTCAAGTGGGCCCTCCTTTGTGTATAGCCCACTGCAGGTAGCCTACAACATCACCGTTGTCACATGTGACGTTGGTGAAGTGTCCAGCGGCCCAAGAGCCTCTGCAAAGCCCTTGCTCTGCTGGCCTAGCAGCCATGCAGGACAGGCCCAGAGCTGACTCCCACTCCCTGCCCACTGTGGGAGGCAGAGCTTGGGGCACAGTTACCTTCTGACCCTCTGACACAGTCATGTCAATGGTCCAGCTTCCCACTCACTCACCCACCTTCACACATGCAGCCTTGGGCTTTCAACCTCACTTGTCACAGCACACCAACAGTCCTGAGAAGGGCAAGCAGCACAAGCCAAACACTGTTTTTGAACTCTGGCACCAGTGACTTCCAGTTTGAATCATCTGCTCACAGTCTAACAGAAAAGCAGCTCCTCCCTCAAGAACCAAAAAAAAAAAGAAAGAAAGAAATTCATAAAAGAACCAAAGATTTAGTTCAGTGGCATAAGCACCTGCCCGGTGAGCATGAGGTCATGAGTTCACTCCGTGGTACCAAAAAAAAAAAAAAAAAAAAAAAAGGCAAAAATTCATTAAAAAAAAAAACAGAAGACTGATATCCTTAGCAAGATGGATCAAAGAAAAAAAAGAAAGCAAATGCCAAATTTCCAACAGAAGATGTAGACGGGGATACTTCTATAACTGTGTCAGTTTAAAAGGACACTAAGGGAATAGTAAGAATAATTTCAAGCAATACATTTGGCAGCTATCATGATATCAGTGAAGTCTTGCAAAATACAACTTTCCAAAACCAAAAGCAGGAAGGACCAACCCTGGCCCATTCTAAGTCTGTGAGGAAAATAACCACAGCCAAAGCTCCACAGTAGAAAGAGGATAACCTGTGGAGACAAAAAAATGTGGGGGCTGGAGATTTAGCTCAGCGGCATTAGCGCCTGCCTTGCAAGCAGGCAGTCGTGAGTTCGATCCCTGGTACCGATAAGAAGGAAAAAGACAAAAAAAAAAAAAAAAAAAAAAAGTCCCAAAATGTGCCCCAGGAGACTGGATCCAGGAGTAACTGTAATTTGGGAAGTGGTTTTTAACAAAGCTCGAGATCTTTCCTTCTACCAGCAGTAGGAGGGCACAGTGTTGTTTTTCCAATCTGTGCCTAATCACTTTACTCAGTTTCCACTGCTGGAGTGGCCAAAGGTGCTCCTTCTGCTGCTGGGCATTGTCTGTGACCTTTGGGGGGGGGGGGGCAGCGGCAACACAGCCCACACTGCCCAGCATCTCAGCTGTCCACACAGGGGTCTCTTTTCCTGGGAACCCCTAATGGACTCCTATAAACTCAGGAGGCAGAGCTGGATGGTTCATAAGCTCTGCCATACTACCAAGGGTCCTGACCCATAGCCAAGGCTGCAGTGTGACATCTGCAGAGGGTCCACGGACAGAAAAGGGCACAGGGACATCTGCCAGCAGCAGGGATGTGGTGGGTGAGCCATATGCTGGGCTCCATTCCACCACACTGGGGCTGCACAGGTATTTTCACTGTCCCTAACATGATAAATTTCATGCTTTTTAAGGGATATTTAAACAAAAGACTCAGATCTAGTGTCGCCCAGATGGAAGCTGGTCCCATGTCCCCTGGCAGAATCCTGACCATCTGTCAAGAATGAACTCTAAAAGGACCACCAGGGCTGGGGATTTAGCTTAGCAACATAAGTGCTTGCCTTGCAAGTGTACAGTTGTGAGTTCGATCCCTGATACCAATTAAAAAAAAAAAAATAAAAGGACCACCAGATCCAGGGAGGGACACAATGGTCACATAGTAAGAGCCAAGGCTCAGAAGGACACCAGCTGTGGGTCGAGAGTGCTACAGCAAGAAGGCTCAAGGCAACGCCATGCAGCCTGAGGGCAGATGTGTAACTCCGTACTCCACCAGATATGTACAGCCATTTACAGCTCATAGCAGGTCCCATTCTCAGGGAGTCTTTGGAGAGGACATCCTAAAAAAGCAAGAGGGGTGGGCCCAAAAGCCACAGAGCAACAAGGCAAAGAACTCCAAATGACACGTGTGTGGTGAACACAGATGGAAGACAGTACAAGGCTGAGGAGGTTAGAAAGTGCCGAGAGATCTCTTCAGGAAAGCAAGAGGCAGGGTTCCTGATGTGCGTGCACACATACAGAGCTCAAGGCTGATGCTTGGGCATGCAGAGGACCAGGCAACACTGTGGCGAGGAAGCAAGGCCAGGAGACACAGCAAGCAGTCCCCTTCCTCCTCTACCCTCTAAAGCCACAAGGTCATAGGCTTGCCTGGCTGCACTCGCCTTGGCAGCAGCACCTCAAATCTTCAAACCACAGGAGGATGCCAAAAACAGTGTGAAGGTTAAGTCAGTCCAAGGGCAGGAAGAAAATTCCAAAGCCCAGTTTCTGTGGCCCAATAGAACCCAAGGGTAGGGAGCATTCAGCTTCCCAATTTCACAAACTGGAATAGAGACTGGCAATCAGGGAGGCATCTGTCGCCTGAAAACAAATATCATGTTCCTACAGCAACCAAGTCACACTTGAGGAAACCAGACGTATCAAAGGATACGTGGTGTGCCTTCTGTGCGGCACACTAGGTAAAGACAGGCGGCGATCACGTGGGTCATCTTGCGCCCCCGGGTCAGGCTCTTGTTGACCGCCATCTTGAAGAAGATGAAGGCAGTGTCCAGGCAATGCTGGTTCAGCTGCAGCTGGCTCCCCAGGTGATGGATGTGGCGCCTCCCTAGAACACAGAAAAGGGAGACTTAGCAAGATGCTGCTGCCCAGTTGCAACTCTGTTAAAAAGGAAGGGCATCAAACGTTCAGGCCAAGTTAACCTTCCTCCAAGGGCCAGCTGCCTGGCTAGGGAAAACCACAGCCTCCCACCAGCAATGCCCCAAGAACACCAGCTAAATCTGAGGGTACTAGGTCCTTTTAGGAACTGCATGGCACTCAGGTGCTTGGGATCACCACATATGTGTCTATATACTGTTCTGGAGCAAGATCTTCCAAAATGCTAGAGACCAAGAAGAGCACCAAGAGAGTAGAGAGGCCAGGCATGGGAATGGACACCTGTAATCCCAGCACTCTGGGAGGCTGAAGCAGGAGGATCTTAAGTTCAAACCCAGAGTGAGACCACATCACAAAATAAAAAATAATTTTAAAAAGGAGGAGCTTTGGGGAGAGGTAGGGTCAGAGGATTCTGGAAAAGTGGGGTTTTTTTGTTGTTTTTATTTTGGTACTGGGGATCGAACTCATGAGTGCCCACTTGCAAGGCAGGCGCTTATGCTGCTGAGCTAAATCCCCAGCTCATGGAAAAGTTTCTTGACTGTGGCATGCGGGCCCAGTAGCATGTGACTCATTGGCTTGATTTCTGTGGCAAAATACCTAAAAGAATGTATCCTTTTGGGTGAAACCAAACTCTCAATCATGGGAAAATAAAGATTTAAAAGAGTAAAATGGACCATATGACGGAAGACGGCAGATTAGAGTTAGCAGCACTCACAAGCTAGTAGGAGGCCTCTTGCCAGGACCTGCAGGGCCTGGGACTGAGGCTGTCATTCTGAGGGCTGAAGAGGGTACAAATACCGGAACATAACTGGACCCAAGGACACATTACAGAGATACAGGATACAACTAAAGAGACCCCCACTGTACCGACAGATCTCCTATACCCTAACTGATCCTCAACACATGGTGCCGGAGGGCAAGGCAACAAGGTGCCTCCAGGAGGTGGAGACCAAGAGGGCAGAGCGGTAAGCAGCAGAGAAAAGAGCCTCTTACAGAATCGCCATCCAGACACTGGAATACAGCATCATGAGGAAGACAAGAAGGGGAGAAGTGGGTCCAAAGGACAATCTAAAGTGCGGACTTAAGCCCACAGAGAGTGTGAAGACAAAAACTTCAACAAAGAAGAAGACAGTAGCCAGTGGCACCTTCTCGGAGACAGGACTCACTGTGCAAGACGAGTAGTTCAAACCTGTGGAGGCACAGTCATGGAGACAGTGATGGCTGGCAACCCCTGAGGCCTCTGCAGAGAGACACAGCCATGAAGGGGCGCGGCAGACATGGAGGACTGCACTGGCTGGTGCTGAGTTCAGAGGTCTCAGTCCTCCCGCGACAGACAGTGACTGGTCGGAAGCCATCCTGGAGACAGGCCGGCTGAGCTCAGAACCCAGAACTGCTGCTGGCTCCATCTAGCAGATCCCATCTGGGCTCAGACCTGCGGAAACTGCTCAGGCAGTGGCAAGCCCAATGTGTCCAGTCTCAGGGCAGGCCTGCTGAGGTTCCACTGTGTGTCCAGTCTCAGGGCAGGCCTGCCAGGATTCTCCACCGCTCCACCACACAGCAGCGGCTGCCTTGCTGGGACAGAGCAGCTCGAGTCAGGGCTCTGTCTCCACAGCCTGTCTGCTAGGGAACCCAGAGAGAAGCCTGGAGGCGGACCATTTGTTTCTCTTTTCTTTGCCTCCTCCTTTATTGTTTATATATGAATATAACAGTGGTCCCTAGCCTCTTTGTGGGACCACGTCTGTTCTTCCTTTCATCTCTTCCATCTCTCTTTTCCTTCTGTCTTCTGCACCAGTTTCCCCAAGCTGGCGTGACTTGCCTTTGATCTCCAACCTTACTGCTAATCTCTTTCTCTTCTTCCACTTCTCTCTTTTCTCCTTAACCCATTTTAAATGTTAACCCCTGGGGGCAAAATTGACACATTAAGGACTTATATACTGCATATAATTTTGATTTTACATTTTGTTTTATAATCACAAATCTAGTTCATACAATTAAAGTGGCAAATTAAGGGTTAGCTCAGTTTGTCATTTTCTAGGCTGTTTTATGCTATTGGTACCACTATAACCAAAACTGACCTAAGTGTTCTAAACAGCTGTTGCTCTTGGTATTCCATGACTGAGATTGACTAAGGGTCACAGAAAATACCATGGCACAGTGCCAAAGAACCAGGAACCAGGCCACAAACTGAAGAGGTAAGATCTTCCAACAGACACAAAACCCACAAACCAGCCACAGCTGGAAGGTACCTCAGAGATACCCATCACCTAAGGGTCCTAAGCATAACAATAAAGCAACCCTCCATAGGCAATTTACAAGCCTCACCTCTGGAATTAAACTAAAAAAAGAGAAACCAAAATGACAAGACACTTAAGCAAAATGCAACCCCAGACATCCATCTGGTTCACCAAAGGCAAACTGAGGGGGCACTGAGGTGGGACCATCTGAAAGCACCCCACCAGGCCTCTCTAAAGTGGTAACAACAAAGCAATTGAATGAAGCACTGGAAAAAATAAAATCAGAAATAATCTCTCAAATAACTAGAAATTACCAAAATACACACCACATTTAGCAACATTAGAGCAGACACAGACGAAAAAATAGACAAGCTTAAGCAAATTATAGAAGCCAGGCACAGAAAACAAATGGAATCCATAAAGCAGATTCAAGCAGATATCCAGGAGAATAAAAACTCCACTGAAAGTATTCAAAGCAGATTAGGCCAATGTGAAAACAGGATCTCAGATACTGAAGACAGGCTTGCAATTAATGACCAGGAAAAGAAAGATTTCTCAAAAATAGCAAAGGGTCATGAGAAATCAATCCAGCAGCTGCTAGATGAGACAAAGAAGACTAACTTAAGGTTGGCTGGAGTCAATGAAAAAAGCAGGAGATACCTCATATGATTTCATGGCAGAAAACTTTGCTGGTAAAGAAAAAGAATTTGACATGAAGAGAAATGAGGCATGCAGATCTCCATTTAGCCACAACCAAAAAAAAAAAAAAAAAAAAAAAAAAAAAATCTATAGCCAAACATACCATAGTCAAGATTCCAGAAATTCAACACAAGAATAAATCTTAAAAGCTGTTAGAGAAAAGAAAACAGATCACCTATAAAGGAAAGCCCATCAGAATCGCAGCTGACTTCTCAGCACAAACTCTTAAGTCAAGGAGAGCTTGGAGTGAAGAATTCCAAGTTCTAAGGAAAACAACTTTCAGCCCAGATTGATGTACCCCACAAAAACATCTTTCAAAATTGATGGAGAAGAAAGATACTTCCATGACACAGAACATCTGAGGAAATTTATGACCACCAAACTAGCACTTGAAAATGTTAAGGACATTCTAGAAAGAGATAATAAGGACTACAACTCCATGAACCCCAAGAGAAGGAATCCACCAGAAAAGGCAAACAATTAGAGGGGCTGCCAGCAACAGGAAAATAACCTGACAAGGACAAGTCAATACATGTCAGTTATAATCATCAATGTTAATGATCTCAATTAACCAATCAAAAGACACAGACTGGTAGAATGGATCAAGAAGCAAAATCCAACAATATGCTGCATACAAGAAACATATTTAATTAAAAAAAGAAATTCACAGACTGAAAGTCAAAGGATGAAAAACTGTAAGGAGCTGTTTGAAGCTGGAGATTGATCACATGTACAGGAAATAGGGAGGCCAGCCCATAAAAAACAGACAGACCAAAACAAACTTCCTAAATAAGTGGTTCCAAGGCCAGGAAGACAAGGGGCCAGGCCTGCCAGGCAAACAAGTTGCTAGGCAATGGGTTTGAAATTGACATTCTTCTTTGGAGAATACAAATAAACATGCTGCACTAGTAGAGCAGGTCCTTTCCTCCCATCAGGAGGATAAGGGCTCCACCTGACCCCAGCTTTGTTTTTATATTTCTCATTCTCCTTAACTTCAAGAACCTGAAGAGCCACATTGGGTCACAGCAAAAAACAATACTCCATGTGACAGGAACCCAGAAAAAAGCATAAGTAGCTATTCTATTTGCAGACAAAGTGAATTTCAAGCCACGGCTGATTAAGAAAGATAAAGAAGGCTACTACATTCTCATAAAGAGAACAATCTAAGAGGAAGAGATCACACTCATAAATATATAGACAACAAATACCAGTACACCCAACTATATAAAACAAATACTAATGGATATGAAAATTCAAGTAAGCCCTAATGCAATTGTACTGAGAGACTTCAATACCCTACTGTCACAAAAAGATGACCAACTAGACAAAAAATCGACAATGAGATAGTAGAACTAAAACAAACTTTTGAGCAAATGGACTTAGTAGATGTCTATACAGTGTTCTACCCCACAACATCAGAATACACATTTTTCTCAGCTGCACATGGGACATTCTCAAAAATAAACCACATACTGGCTCATAGTACATGCTTAAGTAAATGCAAAGGAACTGAAATTATGTCATTCATACCATCAGACCATACTGCTATGAAAGTGGAAATCCATGCCAAAGGAAACCATAAGAACTTCATAAACATGTGCAAATTAAATAGCATGCTACTGAACAACAAATGGGTGTCATATCAAATTAAAGAAGAAATTAGACAGTTTTTCCAGTTGAATGATAACAACAATACATTACTGGAACCTGTGGAACACGTGAAAGCAGTCTTAAGAGGGAGATTTATAGTAGTAAATACCCGTATCAGGAAAACAGAGCAAGCACATATAAACAACTTAATGCTGAACCTGAAACTTCTAGAAAAAGATGAGCAGGCCGAAAGCTCATGACAGAGGAAATTATAAAGATCAGAGCAGAAATTAACACACTGGAGACTAAAAAAAAAAAAAAATACAAAGCACCAATGAAGAGGTTCTCTGAAAGATTAAGTAAAATTAAGTCTTATCCAACTCTATCAAAAAAGGAAAGAAAAGACTCAAATGCATCCAATTAGGAATGA